CTTGCCTGCAGCTGAATCTCATGGAGGCATTTTCTTAATTGAGCTTCCCTCCTCCCAGATGACTCCAGCTTGTGTCAAGTTGGCGTAAAACTAAGCCGCACAGGCACCAACTCTGGGAGGTTTCTAAGCAATAAGCCTCCTGCACTTTCAAAGGTACAGACCAGAGTTCAGTCTCCAGCACTGCATAGAACAGGGCACTGTGGTACATGTAACCCAGCACTTGGAAGGCAGACACTGGAAGATCAGAAATCAAGGTCATCCTTGGCTACATAATAAATCTGAGGCTAACCTGGACTATATAAGACTGTCTCAAAAAAGAAAAATAATAAAAAGGAAGGAAGGAGAGAGAGGGGGAGAAAGAGAGGAGGAGGAGGGGGGAGACAGGGGGAAGGGAGAGAGGGAGAGAGTTCAATGTGGTTTCTTGGCTGTTGGGAGAGGCAACAGGACAGCCCTAGAGCTGACCTGGATCTCACAAGTAGACCTTGGCTATAAACAATGCCACAGGACATCAGCATTGGACAGGCCCCCTGGATTGTGGTGAATCAAAATGAACCGAGACCACTCTGTAAGCATGCCTGACACAGGCAAACCTGAAACTCATTTGAACCATAGCAAGGATCAAATGTCTCAGTCTAAGGGTAGCTCTGCCTCCCTCTTCCTATGTCTTCTGTGTCTTTTAAGATGCCTTGCAGCTCCCCCTGGTGGACTTCCTACTCCACTGCAACCACAATCAACTTGCCCAACCCCACTCAATTGGGCAGAGGAGGGGCTTCTCCTTACCAGGCCCTGTGTATATGGGCATATAAATGGTATACAAATCAGACATTCACCAGCAACAAATCATGAAGAAGTTTATTTTGAAACACTTGTTTGTTAGACATAGTTCACCGTTTATTAAGGATGACAGCAAGTTTGCACACTGGTGAGAAGGCACATTTATTTATTTTCACATAAAAATGAGATCTTGGTTGAATACTTGATACTGCATGATTTAAAGTATCTCCAATGTTTTTCATAGTTGGTCAATATTTAGATTTTATAATCACCAATGCGGAGAACACACCTTCACATGAATACACAGTATAAAATGTCAAACGGTACAATGACCTTTACAAGAAATTGTTGGAAATTCTGCCCATCCCCAGTTAGACACTTCCTCCATCAAGGCCACACCTCCTAAGAGTGCCACTCCCTGTGGGCCAATGCAGGTTATTTTCATTCAAACCTCCATACCACCATAGACTTTCTGTAAGCTTGTCTGAAAGAACACAGAATCACACAAGTGGCCTCCATCAGCTCCCAGAGTTTCAAAGCAGGGCTCAAAAGTAGAGCAGGTCTACTAAAAGGAAGAGGAAATAAAATACAAAGACGGGGCTGGAGAAATGGCTCAGTGGTTAAGAGCACTGATTGCTCTTCCAGAGGACCGGGGTTCATTCCCAGCACCCCCACATGGCAGCTCATAATTGTCTGAAGATCCAGTTGCAGGGGATCTGACACCTTCACACCAATGCACATAAAATAAAGTTAAATAAACCATAAAAATATTTTTAAAAAATCATTGTAAAAAAAATACAAAGACATAGGAAGCTGGGCAAGGCACAATGCCACGTACCTATGACCCCAGCACTCAAGAGGTTAAGGTCAAGGAGTTCAAGGTCATGTTAATCTATGCAGCAAGTGGGATGTTAGCCACACCCTGTGTCCAAAATAAGATGTTGCAGCAAAGCAAAAAAAAAAAAAGAAAAGAAAAAAGCCCCTCTGGAAAAATGAACACATAGCTCCCATCTACAGGGGAAGCAAAGGCAAGCTCAAGAATTAACCTGTTTTTTGTTCGAGGTATCACTCCAAAGCAAAGGAAATCATGGTCTGTTATTGATGTTCCAAGGGCCCCAGAAGAGATGTTCCAACCCTATTTAGGTGACAAACAACCCTAGGAAAAGGATGGAGATAAATGAAAACAAGAGAAGGAGACACTGCCCACAAGCTACAGAGAAACCTGGTGCAATGGAGACTTGCCCAGCCGAGAAGAGGAAAGAACCAGGAAGATGAACAGGCAGAAGAGGAAGCTGATTTTGGTGACATGCTTTTCTTAACTGTAAAATACGGATTCTCTTTGCATATATATAATGTATCCCTTTGGGAGAAAACAAAAGTGAGGCTGTCAGGAACACACGAATCAGTAGCTTTTCTTTTGCTGCGATGAAACACCATGACCAAGGTGAACTTAAGAGTTTATCCTGGCTTACCATCCCAGGTGGATGAGCATCCATCATGGTGGGGGACACAGATACAAGCAGCAGGCACAGGGAGCTGGGCGAACACATCTAGAAGCCACAAGCACAGGGCAGAGAGTGAAACTGAAGTGGGCTAAGGTTTTCCTGAAGCTCATTCCCAGGATGAACTTCCTCCAGCAAGACTGCATCTTCCATAACCTCACCAAGCAGCGCCACCAGCTGGAGACCAAGTATTCAGATGCCTGAGCCTATGGGGGGCGTTTTTCATTCAAAACACATCCACGCTCTGTCCTGATACAGCTACTGACCTGGCTGTCCAGCGTAGGGCCATAAACCCCACAAAGTTTCCAGCAGGCTCCTGTCCACACACAGCAACATTGTCAGTCATCTCTGATGAAGCTCCTATGGAAGAATCATTCTGTGACTTGAACAGTACCGTGTCATCATCCACACCAAAGGAGGCCACTGTTCCGGTGACATTCTAGACCAGTGGTTCTCAACCTGGGGGTCACAACCCCTTCCCAGGGGTGGCCTAAGACCGTCGGAAAACACAGATATTTATATTATGATTCACCATATGGTGAATGGAAATAATGGTTGGGGTCACCACAATGTGAGAAACTGTATTAAAGGGTCACAGCATTAGTAAGCTTGAGAGCCACTGTTCTAGACAGCTTGGCATTATATATAATTATTATATTATTACACATATTATACTATCTATATTATTTAATGCCAAGCTGTCTAGAACAGCATAGATCTATATAATTGTTTCAAAATTATTTTACTAAGAAAAAAAAGAGTTTACATGAGAGTCACATTACAGTATTACATGGAAAAAAGTTAATAAGCTGGAACATAGACCCCTGAGGCTGTGTGGATAATGGATAAACACATAAACAGATGAAGAAGTATCTTAAAAGTAGCACAGTGAAAAAAAAAAAAACTAGGTATATATTTCATATGCCAAGAAAGAAAAAATTCACAACATGTGTAGTTTCTGGGTTTGGGGATGAGGATGCTTTCCTTGCCTGTATTAAACATCTTTTTAGATGAAAATATTTTCTTAAATGGTGCAAATAAAAGAGAAAGCAGGAGAGGTGAGGATCCTAGAAAGGAACAGATATATATAACCAGAGCAAGCGAACACTCTGGGTCCTCCCTGGCAGGGCCAGGCAGGGGGATCGAGGCAGTTTCCTGTCCCCGCTCAGTGGGGCCAGAGCTCTGACAATGAAGCCCACATACAGAGGAAATGGAATAAAAACTCAGAGGGCCCCAAAGATGTGGTTGGTCCATTGCCACCAGGCCCGCGGCCCACCACGAGTGAGTCTGTCTCCCTCTCCTTGTGCTGCCTGGGGGGCCGAGTTTCATCTACCTTGTAAAGTCACAGTGGGGACTTCTACTCCATCTTCTCTCCCAGACACTCTGACAGCATTGGGGACCTCTACAATGAGTGACTCATAGCTACTGTGCCTGAGGGAGAAGGGGGACAGTTAAGCCGAGACACAGGCGCTCGGGTCTGTCTTTTACACTCACTCACACCACACATTCTGCTGGTGCACATGTCCCAGTGGGTACCGGCTCTCACGGTCAGTCCCAACAACCTACCTGCATCTGACCCCTGGGACCCCCATGGTGAAAGGAGAGAACTGATACCTGCAGGACATCCCTAAGCCTCCACATGTGACACAGTGAGTACCCAAAGATGTCCTCTGGCCTCACCCACACACCAATACATGGCGTAATAAAGAAAATTAAATCCATGCACACTCCCTAGTCCCCGCTCCGAGAATACTGCTATCCACAGATATGGCTTTTGCGGATGGAACTGTGGATCTCAAGATGAGATCACCCTGGATTGCTCTAAGTCTAATCATGGTATCCTTAGAGAGGACTAGATATGGAGGCACAGACCTGTAAGCCCAGCTAAGTCTGAGGCTCAAGCAGCAGAACTGTAAATTCAAGAGCTGTCTGGACTGCAGAATGCATCCAAGGCCAGTTTGAGCAACCTTGTCTCAAAATAAGAAAAAGGCCTAGAGTGAGAACACTTACTACAAGGGAGTGTTTGAGACATAGAAACACAAAAGGTCAAGAAGGTGGTGTGAACTGAGGGGTTGGAGTGTTGCCAAGGATACGGCAAGCTGGGGAAAGGACGGAATGGGTCCTCCTTGCGTGCCCAGACCTCATCTTGACTTGGAACTTCTGTAGTTCTCAGCTGCTGTTTGTAGGAATTTGTAGCAGCCCAGAAAACCAACTCCTTTCCACCTCCTCCGAATCTCCCCATCTCATCCTTTACCATAGGTCTCCTTGTAGGTCACAGGTCCAGTTCGGGGCATCCGGGAACCTGGCTGCGACTAGTCGGGTTGCTAAGTGGCGAATTACCTGCCTCCCACCAGATGTCTCTACCCCCATGTAGAGGAGTGGGTCATATTTCAGGGTTGGTCATGCACCAAGGGGCGGGGAAGAAAGTCTGGCAGCTTTCAACTTCCTTCACACAATAATAAAAGGAAACAGATTTTGCCTAATGGCTGAGGCTTTGTAAAAATGAAATCTAAGCTAATCCAATAAATCCACTTAATTATTCAAGCCCAAGTCAATATTTCTCATTTGCTTCCTCTTACAAACCCAGACATGATAATGAAGGAAACGCTATTTAAATCAGCGGAGAAAGGAAGGGGGCCCAGACAGAGGCAGAGACTAAACCTAAATGGAGGCAAGAAAGGACTCAGCCACTCCCAGAAAATAATTCACAGCCACACTCGCTACTAAGATTCAAAGAAAAAAATTTATTTACAATAGAGAATTTTATTTGAAACATGCATTTTTTTTAAAAAACAAAAAACAAACCAACCAGTAAATGTGGATCAATTGTACACTCTTTAAGGCAAGAGTCCTATGCAGGCTGCATATGTTCATGTCACATCAGATGCTGCTCACCAAAGGACAAGGCCAAGGTCAGCAATTTGTCTTTTTTATAAGAGAATCTGACACTCTCCCTGATACAGGAACTCTGAGGTCAACTTGCTATGAATTATACTAGAAAATGCAAACAGATAGCAAGGAATCCTGGTAGGTCTCGGCACTGCATACGGTCAAACCAACCTTACTTAGAAAAGGAACACAGTAGTGCATATAAAGTGAGAAGAGAGCCTGTCCACGGAATCGGAAGGGCGACAGTGTGCCGACGGTCGTATTGCACGCAACGGCCAAGTCCAAGCGCTTGGTTCCAAGTTAGCTTTTCCCCATTTTGGCAATCAGTTCGTCACAAATCTTGGTGAGTTCTTCTATCTCTTTGTTCTGAAAATGAAAGACGAGAGAGGGGTTCTAAAATAATACATGCACAAGCAACAGAAATGGACATATGCATACCAGAAAGACAACCAGGTGTGATGGCGCACACCTTTAATCCCAGCACGTGTTAACAGACGCAAGCGGATCTCTGTGAGTTTGAGTTTGAGACCAGCCGGATCTACATAGTGAGTCCCAGGCTACCAAGCCAGTCACGGGGCTGAGGCGGTGACTCAGCTGTCAAAGTGCTTGTGTTCTAAGCTGAAGGGTCTGAATTCAAACCCCGGGACCCATTTTTTTTTTTTTAAAGCAAGCCAGGTATGGCAGTGCACACCCATAAACCCAGCACACAAGAGGCAGACAGAGGAGGATCCCCTAGGCCAGTGATCAACCCTGTCTCAAAAGGAAAGGTGGACAGAGTCGCTACAGAAACCAGGAAAGTAAAAAGGGATCGTGGTTGAGGGGGCCTGGAGAGGGGAACAGCAGGATTCAGAGGTCCCTCAGAGTTGAAGGTGAAGACACCACTCGCTTCAGACACAGGTCTCGTGAGATTCGAGGTGATCTAACCTGAGAGCCTCCTTGCTGCTGGTCTGGTTTCCCTAGCACCAGAGAGTGCTGCGTAAGCCACCAAGGGAGGTGGGTAATCAATAGTTCTTTCTAATTCTTTCTGGCTATGACACCTATGAATCACAATGATCAGTTGAGCAAGATGTCCCTTGGGCTGCAGTGGTGGCACTCGTCTTGATAGTAACCAACAGCTCTCTAAATGGACTAAGGTCTCCTCAATAGGAGTGACATCATGCCTGGTACTGGAAACCTAGCCAACTGCCCAGGGCCAGTGAGGTCATGGAGCTGAGAGAGACCCTACTATCACCGCTGGATTAAATCATCATAATTCCTAAGTGCCTTCTAAAACTTAGCCTTAGAATGGGAAATGTAGTTCTCACCCAAAGAAGCTTCTCTTTGTGGTAAGGGGAGACCATTGCAGAAAACCGCAACTGGTCATCATGCAGAGACCAGTGGATCGTGAGAAGTCCAGCCTCAAGGATATTTCTATAATACAACTCCTGCCGCCTAATGCTCAGGGAACATCACAGAAGAGAGGGTGGGAAGATCCCAAGAGTCATGTTGCATGACTATGTCTCCTAAAAATGACAAGGGAGCTACACCCATGATACCCCAACCATGTGGCCAATAAGACTCATACAATGATAATATCAGACATTTTAACATGAAAGGGAAGTCTCAAGGGGCCCACCCCTCGACAAACATCTACAGGCAACTCACAACTGCTGGAAAAAGAATTAGCTTCTCCCAGGGATAAGCTCCCTTAACTGGTTACCTAATACAAAGTACATATAAGCAACAAAAAGAAAGTACATATATACACCAAAAAGAAAAGAAAAAAGAGAAGGCCAGGAGTGGTGGTGCAGATGTCCTTCTGTAATACATTGTTCTCACTGGTTGATAATTAATGCTGCTTTGACCTATGGCAAGAAAGAATATAGCTAGGCAGGAAATCCAAACAGATATAGAGGGGAAGAAGGGTGGGGGCCAAGAGGAAAGCGAGATCCAAGAAGAGAGATGCCAGCAGCAGCTAAGGAGAAAGATGCTAGAACAGAGGTAACACCGTGGCCACATGGCGATACACAGATTAGTAGAAAAGAAAGAGCTAGCCAGTAATAAGCCTGAACCATTGGCAAAGCAATTATATTTAATATTAGCCTCTGATTATTTCATAAGTGGCTGTGGGGACTGATGGGCTGGAGAGAAACCAGTCCCGCAGGACTAGGCAGGACCAGGTGAGACAAAGAAAAACATTTAGCTACAAGGGCGGGGCATGCCTTTACTCCCAGCACTCGCCAAGCAGAGGCAAGAGGATCTTGATGAATCTGAGGGCAGCCTGACCTACATAGTGAGTCCCAGGTCACCAAGGTCACACTGAGACCCTGCCCCAACAACAACTATTACCAGTCAATCAGAGGCAACACTGGTCTCCTCGTGGGGGACAGCACCTACCCAGTCTTTCGGTCTCCCCTAAGGCTACCTAAAGTAATCAGAGGAAATAACTGGAAGCGGACAGAGTTTACATCCTAGCTATGATGTAGCTGGGGAGCTTGGGCAAGTTGCACAGCCATCCTGAACCCTGGCTTCCTTATCTTTAATACGTAGGTGAGAATGAAAGGAGGTAAAAAAAAAGTGTGGAGTTGTGTAAATGGAAAGACTCGGTGAGTAGACCACAGCGGAGGGTGGCTGAGGTCTGGGGTGAGAAAGAACTGGCATTGGTTCACTGCTTTCCTGACAAAGACCCACTTAGAAGAACGCTAGTGTTACTTAAAAGATGCCCAGTAAGTAGGTGGTGTGGTGGTACAGGTGTCCCGGAGGAGTCAAGGCAGAGGAAGGCAACTTCTTCCCTGCAGAAGCCACCCTTGGCCCGTCCTTGAAGCTCAATCAAAGGCAGCTACACACATGGGCACAGATATCAGGGCAGCAGTTCCTGTCCTGTAGGAAGGGGATCCAGCTGGGAGACAGCCCGCAGATATGGCTCTCCATGAAGGCTTGAGCTACCAGCAGCCCAAGGCTGTCTTTGCTCATGTACAAGTGCCCAGTGGCCCTCCCTGAGGACGGAAAACCTGCATCTAATGCAGCTAGTTTTCTTTTGAGAAGCTCAGGAAGGCTGGCCTCCACCAGCCCATTTCTTAGAACCTCCTGCAGCACTGTCCCAGCTCAGTTCATGGCTGTCCCTGGGTTAGGACTCCCAGCATTCCACACCACAGTCTGTGCCCATGCAGGGGAGAAACCTGAGCTGCTGGGAGGGGGGGTAAGGGGAGGGAGGAAGCCCTGTCTTCCAGCAGCCAGGCCATGGCCCACCTCCTGCCTAAAAAGTAAACCTTAGGCCTCAGCCCACACAAGTGCTGAAAGCCCTGGCCACTACCTCCACCCTGATGGTCACGAATGCCTATCTTCATCTTGTGAATATCACATGCCAATCACCAAGCTAAAACCATCCCAGATACCATGGCACCCCTCAGTTCTCACACTGGCCCTTCAAAGGAAGACATTGTCATGCCATTTTTCAGAGAGGAAACTGAGCTTCAGAGAGGTTAAGTGCTGTGCATAAGAGATTACACAGCCAGTCAAACAGAAACAGATGTGGCCAGCCTGGAACACTGATTCAAGTTGTGTTTGCAGCTATACAGCTTTGTTGTCATGTCCATTAGACTTAAAAGGCAGCAGTTCACAACAGAAGCCCTGGAGATTCACAGAGATGAGGTGAAACCCAGCATCTTCAGCCACCCCTGGGGCAAACTGCCCCATCATGGGGCCCAGCATCTTCACCCCCACCTGCCCTGGTGAATGTTTTTGAGACTCTTGTTACATGTATCTATAAGCCTTGTTTGTTACATGTATCTGCTGCCCTTTAGGTGCAAACACCATGATTAACACCTTCCTCCAGGAACTTAGTTCAGAATGAAATTACGTTTGCAGATATATCTTGTCTTTGCTGTTATCCAAAACCATGCCATTCCCTTGTTTGCATCTGTGTATTTCAATCTACCAGAAAACACAGCACCACCACTTTCGTTTGCAGTTCTGATCAGGCCACGGGCCTTGGAGACATCCACCCTGGCTCCTGCCTCAGGAACTAACACAATGTGGCGATCTAAAAGCATCTCAAATGGATTCTATACGGTGGGAACACTGATAACTTCCCGGACACACAGACTGACTGGGGAATGCGGTCTTTATTTTAAAGGAACATTCCGCTTCTGTAAAAACATACAAAGACTCATGGGTAACCCCACAATGATGCTCGGGGATTGTCAAAGAGTGAACAAATGCGTGGGTTTGCAGCTGTGTCCTGTCTTTATGGTGACTGCTGTGGACAACCAGCAGAGCCCAGAAGTCCTAGGCGGCTGCAGGAGCTGGCATACAGCACTGGTCTAGCATTTTCTTTCTAAAACATAATTCCTGTGGTTGACGGCCAGTAGTACTCTGCATCCTCAGAAGATGGGGCTAAATAGGATTTCACAAGTGTGTTCTCTTTCTCTTTCTTTAAGTGGGGGTAGGGTTAGTATCACACTTGACATCAGGGAAATTCTCTCATCTAAAGTATTCTCAGGACTAAAGGGGACCAAGGAAATGAGATGGAGAGCGAGGCTCGCCAAGGTCGTACGGCTGGTGGGAATGTGCGAGCAGCTGGCCTGCTTCATCACCAGGCTCTCTCTGATAGCACCTAGCAGGATAGAGCCAGTACCTACCAGGGCAAAGGTTACTGAAATTCACCTAGACACCCTGCCCCCTTTGGACCACATGGAACTGGAATGTTTCTGGGATGGCAGAGGTCTTCACCAGGATATCTGGGGAAACTCATCCAGTAGGCTAAGCACCACACTGGAAATCAGGAAACCTAGGCACAGTGGCCTCAGGAGGTCCACCCACTGATCACACAACCAGAGGACATCTGAACATGCCTGGTCCCGCTGCTGCCCATCCTGTCAGGGGACTGGTGGGCTCCTCACCTACACCCTGGGAAGAATGATAGTTGAAGAGGTTCAAGGGCAATGCCTGGCTTGCCGATAGTGTTTGACAAATACTTCACAATGCCGTGGAAGAATGAGACGTGGAAAAACACCATATGGGCTGCCATCCCAGAAAGGAAAAAAAACTGGACCTAATACAGGTATGGTCATAGGCATGAGTTTACATGGAAGCTGCTCTGGCTTTGCTTTGGAGCCCTGCTCCCAACTTCCCAGCCTTCATTACCAGATAGACTGGCAAGAGCCAGCGAGTAGACTCACAGCAATGGGTACCTGACCCCGACCCTCTTACCTTCTGCTCCAGCGTCCTTTCTAGCGCGTCCACTCGCAGCTGCTCCTTCCGCAGGCTGGCCTGGTAGGCTGCTTGTTCTTGCTGGGCTTTGCCTCGAACCTGGGCAATCTCTGCATTGGCCCTGTTAGAACAAGGAGCACCGTAGGTGATTTTTTTCATGGACCCCTCCCTCCTCCCACGTCCTAATAGAGACCTAGGTCTGAGTCCAGCCCCACTAAATAGAGCCTGAACATAGGCCCACTAAGAATCTCACCCTTGTCATGATGTGTAAGGGCTTTGGGTGCCCCCGACATTACAACAGAATCCTTCGCTTATCTCAGCGGGCAGTGGTTGAATGAGTGCTTAGCCCAAGTCATAAAGATTAGCCACCCCTTTGCCAGCCAATGTCAGAGTGCCGCTGGAGCGCCTGGCCTACGTGAATAGTGAGTTACCTGTCCAGCTTCTCCTCCGCGTGCACCTTCAGGGCCTGGTACCTCTGCTCTTCTTTCTTCACTCGGGACAGATACTCCTGTGCGCATTTCTTCAGCACCTCTTCATTCTGGTATTGGCAGGGCCACAAGAAGAAACACTGAGGGGCACACCAGAGCATCCCCAACAGTCAAATCTGACTCCTTAAACGGCCGCAGAGGTCCTGTTCACATCCTGGCTCAGGATGGGCTTCCTGGATTCTCACCCCTCCTGCCGCCCCCCTCGCACCCTCAACCGTTGTTGCTTCCCCACCCCCACCCTGACTCTGCCTGGCTCGGCAGACATACCTTGCGGAAGCCTTCCAGGACTTCCTTCATCTTCTCGTATCTCCTGAAGAGGTCAGCCAGAGACTTTTCCACAGAGTTCAGGTCAGCCAGGGCTTGCTCCTTCTCGAGGACCAGCTGCTGCACAGTTTGGTGGGAGACCGATTTCTCTCTCTGTTCATCCTCTGGCAGGAGAGACAGAAGTCAGACAGTGCAAACTATGTCTACTCGAGCGCAATGCAAGTGTTTCCTTGGAAGGAGCCCTCCCTCCCAGAGGGTTCCAATGGGACAAAACTCACAGACCTGATAACAAAGACTTGGGGCTGTGGTACATCGTGTGGGGTAGGTCAAAGTCAATCTTTAACCTGCTCAGTGTGGCCTCTTGCACATCTACAATGGAGACCCTGCGAGTCTACTTTTCCTCCACTAAGCCGATCCACACTGAGTCAGAACACATTACTACTGTATTTCTGGGAAGATGATTGAAGGGGCTGTGGTGGACCCTAGGGGTAACTCTCCCTAAATGGTATCAAGGCCTGGACTCTCGGCAAACCAAAGCAGTATCTGCAAAGTTCATTTCTCAGCAAGGCAGAGCAGTTCCACTTGAGTCCAGTTCAATTACTGGTACCAGCCTGAGCAACAGCTCTGTTCCCTCCCATCCCTCTGGCCCTCAGCCACCCCACAATGACGTCAGATGTCTCTACACTATGGGACAAACCGTCTCTGACATTAATGCGACTTCCAACCTGTGCACCAGCCTTTAGCCTGGGTGCAGACAGAGTAGGCAAGGCACACCTCACTTTCCTGGTGACAGCTGACTTTATGATACCCCCTAGCCTCCATCCACAGCACCAAGAGCTCCCAGGAGAAAACAGAAAGCCCAGCAGTTCTTTGTCACTCCCAGGTCACCTGGGAGGGTGCTACCTACTGCCCAGGACTGGCTGAGAGCTGGTTGTACAGCAGCGGCAGCTGCCAGCACCAACTGCAGGTGATGCTATCTCCCTCTGCTCAGAATCTGCCTGTAAAAACCTCCTCTTGGATCGAGACTAAAACCTAGGCTGCACTCCACATGCCTACTCCGGCCCTGACAGCCCTACTACCTCAGCCAGCTCCTGCCCCAGAGCGCAGGAGCCCTGGGAAACTCCCAAGGGTTCCCCATTCACTGGTCTCGGATTTCTCACCACTTCCTGTCCATCTGTCACGTGAAAAGACATGCCTGTGTCTGCATGTGTGCTTGGGCCCCTTGTGGGTTCTGGTTCTGTTATACTCCAACTTTCCCCACTGCAGGCTTGGGACACAAGGCTTCCGGCTGCCTCTTACGATGGTAATTTTGGCAGGTTGGTCAGACTGAGAAATGCGCAGATGAGCACAGCTGGATGTGCTTGTGAATGAATCTGAAGGGCACTTGGATCATGAGGACCGTGACCTTGCAAATGCATTCATGATGTATTTGCATTCATGATGTGGCAGAAAGTAGGAGGTGGGGGCAAGGCTGGAGGAAGTAGGTCACTGAGGCTAAATCCTAGGGACTGGTCATGCCCTTGCTGCTCCCCGTATCTCTTTTCTCTTCTTCCTGTCTGCCAAAATATGAACTGCATGCCCTCACCACCACATTGGATGGATTGTTCGGAAACTGTTAGGCAAACATCAAAATCTTCCCTTCAGTTGAGCCTGCCTGCCAGGTGTCTGGGAGAAGCAATGACAAAGGAACACAGCCCCCGAAAGTAACCTGGCCACTCTCCTCAGGCGCTGACAGTGGGTCTGTTGGGGTCACTGCTCTGAGCACACAAAACCCCTCCATACAAGTGATGCTACCACATGATCCACGTGGGGCACAAACAAGGCTAGCCTCACAGTGACCTGTACAAGGTTTCCTTGTCCCCATTTTACAGCAGGCGAAAAGAGGGTTTGGACAACAGTGTCGGTTCGCCGAGACACAGCATAGCCCAGGTTCAGATCCAAAGACAAAAGCATAAACAATGACTAAATTCCACCTGAACCTCCTGCAACGATGGACCCGGACAGGTCCCACCAGGACCAGCAAGTGCGGATTTGAGCTATTTGCCCTTCCGTTTCTGATAGGCCAGCATCTTTCTGTGTCTTAAGTTTGGCATAGCACTGCTGTGTGTATTGGTAGGGTCACGGGCTGAATTTTAGCTCCAAGCCTGACAGAAACATGTTGAAAAGCTCTGCTATTCTGTGGTTCCCAAGCCTTGCTTACAAATCAAGGCGGCTGTCAGATGTGAGCATGCATTCACACCAGCAGGAGGACTATTCAAACAGATGCGTCCATCCTGCTTTTGGAGCCAGCAGGTCAGCGCAGGGCCTGGAGTCTGCACAAGTAACAAGAGACTCAGATGTAGCTGGCCCAGGGCCCTGCCTGGAAAACCACTGGCCTAGGAGATGCCTATCGTTCCTCCAGCCCACCCCAGTCATCCCAGGGTTCTTAATATTCGCAGCAGCAGCCAGAAGCTACCAAGGGAATTGGCTTTGGAATCTAACAGACCAGATTTGAACCCCAACTCTAATACTTCTTTGCTGTGTGACCTTGGGTGGGGTTTTCAAACTCACTGAGTCTCCTAGCCAGAACCAGGAGATGGCATAGCATTTGGGGAGACTAAAAAAAAGAGAATGAATACAAAGATCTTGGCACCCAGGAATTGTCTGGAATCAGTGACCTGTTATCAATAGCATATCCCTGTCCCTAGAAACATCACCCCCGACTCAGTGGGACAGTATGTCACAATGACCTGGGAAGCACTGCCTTTTAAATAGAGAACTTTCTAACGCTAGTAATCTACTTGCTACATCCACACTCCTAAAAGAGAGCATTTGCGAGTGCCACTAGCTTTTCCTTTATTCCCAGCATGGCGAACAATGTCCATTCTGAGCTGATCTGTGGTCACGGATACATTTCACCAGATGGGCTGGAAGGAGCCATTTATCAGAGTCCATCCGATTTCCTGCATCTAAGATGTCGCCTAACCTCAGCTTTCGTTCTGTCACTTTTAAAAATAGAATTGCCCAGTTCCCAGGAGAGCCAGGCAATGGCAACGCAGCACAAATCTTCTGCGTGACCAATGAAGGTAGGCTCTTAAAGTCAGGAAATCAGGGTCAGCCCAAGGCACACTGCACTCACAACCTTGCAGGCAAATCCCTAGTAGATCGGATGGGGGATGCAGCGAGTACACAAAGCAAAAATAACCAAACCAGAAAAACGAAACACAAAGGGTCGCCGGTGGGTAGGGGTCAGACGGGGTAGGGGTGGGGAGCATTTACTTACCGGGCTTGCCTGCTTGTTTTGCAAGCAAAGGGGAAGAAGCAACAGAAAATGGAAGCAAAACAGATAATCAGGGCAGTTGTTAGGAAAGCAGAAACAAAAAAAAATCGCAACAATCTGGAATGCAGAAAGCACAGGGGTTCCTTTCGGTCCTAAGTTCCAAGGCACCAGTACTGAGTTTTTAACAAGGCACACTTTCTTCAGAGGAGCTGGTGAGGCGGGATGAGGAGGGAGGGCTTAGCATGGCTCAGAGGAACCACGGTCTACTTCGGAACACTTCCACATTCACTCTGGCCCTACACTGCCGAGCTCTCAGGCCCGGGTTCTCCTTGCTAGGCAGATGGAATGAAAACGGGATGGAAATGCGGGATCCAGACGAGACCCGGGGGTATTTCTTTAAGTGAAGACATTTGCTTTCCTAGATGGCAAGCAGGTCCACTCTCCTATCCAGTCATATCGCAGGCTGTCTGTGTGGACCCAGAAATATCTAGTGGTCTCACCCAGTGATCCTCCATAGCAACTGACATACAATTTTTCTTGACTAGAAAAGCTTTGGAAAGTGAATGAGGAAGAGGCTGGCGAGTAGGGCTAGTGACTACAAACAGTAGGGCTGTTCTCCAAGTGAAGATGCTCCCAAGCTGGGGATGTTGACAGCAGTCTCCTTGAGCCCTTCTGGGGGTTCTCTTAAGAAAAATGTTCTAGAGTCTAAATAGGAAATACACCATGCCCCTGATACCCACTTCTCCGATTGTCGAAGGCAGAAATGTTCTGACAGCTGCAGTTTATCCAAGAAGCAGGCACTGGCATCTAGTCACCTCTCTATTACCACAATGGCAGACTGCCCTGAGGTCAGCCAGAGAAGCCCTTTATGCTTGGAGTCCTCCAGGGTGGACTCCTGCTTCTCTCCAAGTCCCCAGCTGTGTGCAACAAGCTGGCGGTGGCAGCATTCCCTCAGGAGCCAAAGCTTGCACCTGCCCCCTCAACACCACACCTGCATCTCAAGGACACTCGCGCCCCAAGGGTCTGATAACCCTTTCAGCGCTGAGAGATAAACAGGCTTCCTCTCCTACGCTTTTGCCAGCACTTGCAGACCCCAGAGTTTATCTCATCCATGTGCTCACACATTTCCTTCTGATATAACACACCCACATGTTCTGATGTAAGGCACCCACATCGACAGGGCTGCATGAGCCTCGGGGCTCTAAGTGAAGTCTTCACTAATGTGAGCCACAGCTGCACTCCTGAGAGCGGAGCCACTCAGCCACTGGCCTTCCTGCTACTTCAAGGACGACTGTGCTGTTTATTTTGAAATAAGTTACAGAAGGAACTCAAAAAGCCAAACATTTGCTAGGGGTTCTCCTAGGGGACCTGTCCGTGCATGTCCAGCATGAGGACTGGGTTGACAGTGACTTGCGTGTTTACCCCACAAATCCTTAGGTGGGTAAAATTGTTTTTAAAAATGGATTATCACAAATCTAAGCAAATAGATAGCTAGACATAAATCAGCATGAACACCAGTTCCCCAAGACTATTACTATAAAAAAACTGGACTTTGGATTGTCTCCAAGACATTCATTATAGAGAGGATGGGAAGAAGGATGGAAGAAAGGGAAGGGGGGGGGAAGGGGAGGAAGGAAAGGAGGAAGGGGGGAGGAAGGAAGGAAAGAGGAAGGAAGGGAGGGAAGGAGAAAGAAAGCAAACTCAGTCATTGTGTGTCACTTGCTAATGGGGGTCTTTCTTTCTTTGCAGACCTAAGCATCTGTCAGCTCTGGCTGCCAGGGATGCAGTGTTTGATGGAGGTATCCTATCTCAGGGAGAGCTGGGATTGGCTAACAGGGTTCGCCAGCCACAGAGGAAGGGTATTGGGTAGGGAGTTGCCACAGGTTCCATTCTAGCCCTAAATCCGTTGGTTAAAGTATATGGATATTTAATCATTTGAATCTAAACTAAATTAGGGTTTAGGGGTTTTAATTCTATGCTTTTCTGCAAGCAAAATCCAAAACTTCCACCCATCCCAGGGGCCAAACTGAGACTCTGCCCTGACATGGTAGAGTACCCCGGCTAGGCAACTGAGGGCTACGGAGACACTGGGTAGCATGAAGCCCATTTTTGTGGGTATCTTCAGGGTACAGTCACAAGTACAGCTGCTTTTAGAGGAGCTGGCCCTGAGCCTTGCGCCACCCAATCCCCACCCCCACTGTCCTCCCCGCTCCCCACAGTTGGGCCTGATCACCCCGGCCCCGACACCCACCGATCATCTGTGCGATGGTCTTCTCATATTCAGCCACGATTTTCCTGGAAGAAAGGCAGAGGCACGCTGAGCTGTGGTAACAGGATGGTGCCGATCTCCACCCCACAGGTAAGGCTCGCACCCTCTGTACTCTTCCTTTCACTCATCGGGTTTGCTCTCCTGGCTCACAGCCCTCAATCCAGCACACCGCTCAAGCCCTGCAGCATCTCCACGGCCCTCTAAGTGAAACAAAGGCCCCACCTTCCACCTCATGACTGGAGCCTTCAACACCCAGGTCTCACCGCCTCCACCAGCTTGACCACCTTCTAGGCAGCTCACGGACACAGTGGCTTAACATGGACAGACAAGCTCTTCCTTGATCTCAGGCTAAGTGTAGCCCAGGTTGTCTACTTCCTTCTTCTATTTCAGCCACACAGAATCTGTTTCTCAGGGTCTAATTCAAATGTTTTCCTCTTCAGGAAGCTGTTCCTGATTTCTCTTAGTGTTCCCTCTTGAAGTTCCCTAACATTCTCTCTGTATTGTCTCTTCCGATGGAGTGCGTGTGCTCCTCAAAGTAAATACGGTGCTACTTGTTATTCCCTTGCGTTTTTAAATTAAAAATAATAATAATTTTTTTTTGAAAGGTGGATTGGTGAGACGGATCTGCACTATAACCCTGGCTGGCCTGGAACGCATATGGATCAGGCTGACCCTGAACGCACAGATATCTGCTTGCCTCTGCCTTCCAAGTGCTGGGATTAAAAGTGTGAGCCACCATGCCTGGCAACTTCCCCGGATGAATAGTGAGGAAACATAAGCAGCCCTCCGCAAGAATAGTCCTCTGAGGACACAGGGTTCACCTGGTCAATCTAGTTATCAGGAAAGTAGAAGTGGGAAGCAGGGGGGAGAGTGGGAAGAAGTACCGGAAGTAACAGGAAACAGCGGGAAGAACTGGGAAGCAGTGGGAAGTACTAGGAAGAACTAGAGCTAGAATGAGGTTTCAGGAAGATGTGATGATGACCTGGAAACAGGCTGTGATCATCCAAGTTAGTGGTTCTCAATCTGTGGGTCACCACCCGTTTGGGGTTCGTGTATCAGATATTTATTACGATTCACAACAGTAGCAAAATTACAGTTATGAAGTAGCAATGAAATAACTTTACGGTTGGGGTCAGCACCACATGAGGCGCTGTATTGAAGGGCTGCAGCTTTAGGAAGGCTGAGAACCACTGCCCTGTGTGCTTTGCTCGCTGCTGGAAAGGTACACAGGAACGCAAGCTGACTGGAATCGGGGGAGACACTTTCACTGTCTACACATTTATCTGACGGGATTCTTTCTCTCATGTACAGTGTTACTCTAAAAGCACGTGTAGAAGCTAAAGAGACAGCTCAGCAGTGAGGAGCTTATGTTACTCCAGAAGAGCCAAGTTCAGTTTCTAGAACCCACATTGGGTGGTTCTCAGCTATGCGCCAACTTTGGGGAGGGATTTGGATTCCTCTGCTTCCAAGGGCATCTGTATTCACAGGCACAAACACCACACAGAGATACACATAATTATGAATAATGAGCTGGGCATCAGCGGTGAACACCTTTAATCCCAGCACTTGGGAGGCAGAGGTAGGCAGGTCTCTGTGACTTCAAGGCCAGCCTGATCTACAGCGTGAGTTCCAGGACAGCCAGGGCTACACAGAGAAACCCAGTCTCAAAAATAAAATTAAATTAAATAATTAAAAGAAAATCTCTTGAAAACTCCCATGTGAAAATATGAGCCCTGAATAATAACAAAGAATGAAATTCTTCTATAGGAGACCCTGCCGGAGGTGGGGACACCTCAGCATTAATTATCATGAGGTCACAGCAGGAAGTTGCGCTCGCTCCACTGACCTCATTTCCATCACTTCCCGCCTGCTTTCTTCATATTTGTCCCTCCACTCAGAGACTTCTCTCTCCTTGGAGATAACCTAAGATCAGGGAAAGAAGACAGGCAGAGCCCAGATGAGCGCATTCAGTTCCGACCAAATCCAGGACACATCATACACACACAGGATGAAAATATCTCACATAGAGCCAAGATTCCATCCAGGGAATTCTCCAAGCAGGAGAAATAAAGATTACCTAAGGACCACGGGGACGGGGTACCATGATGAGGTATCGTTTACAGCACCTGTTAGCATGGTAACCAGGCAGACCAGAACCCACGTGTGCCACCCAGCCAGCTTGCAGTGTTTAGAGGACAGTCTGTCTCCAAAGAGCAGCTTCCTGGGTAAATACGGCTATTGACAGATAGTAGACTCAGGCCCTGTCCCAGCGTCAAGAATGTGGATGGCCCTTGACACCACCGGTCTCATACCTCTGCTCTGGCAACTTGGAGTGCAGAGTCCAGGTCTGGCTGCTGGAACAGAAGGCCCGGAGGTTTTTCCACCTCGGCGGGCCCGATGCGAGAGTACAAGGCAGTTTTGGAGATGGAGACATCCGGTGGGTGAGCAGCTTCCCTCTGTGGGTGGTTTTGGTTTTCATTAAAGAGAGAAAGAAACAGAACAGTCACCACTAATGGCACCACAGACAGGGTTGCACGCAGGGCCTCGAGAACCGCACTCAACCGCTCGGCTGTATGGTTTTGAAACAAAGGGCATTGGAGGCATGAGAAAATGCAAAGACTCACGGATGGGGGTAATGCCAGGTCCAGGGGATGGAAAGCCTTTATGTTGCACATACCAGGCACACAAAGGGGCTAATGAGATGGCAGCCTCTGTAACTAGGAGCCCTGGGGGCTCAGTCTGTCTGTGGTCTGCTTATCACGGCCATTTATCAGATGCCGAGCCAACTAGGCACTGTAAGCAAAGACCAGCCATTATTCTGTTGGCCCCACTTCCAAAATAAAGTCTTGCTGGAGACTGATTCTGAATGCTGGTCCATATTGCCTGGTTTTGAATAGCTGAAGATTAGATCATTTTTGTGACCTGCCCACATTTAAATTTGCTTTTCATATGTCTCAGTTTACAAAGATGTTATCTGCCCAAAATTTGAAGCCTACTAGTGTATCAGTTTTGTCTGGGTTTGGGAGATGCTGCCATTAGGTCTGCTCTATAATGGCGAAGGGGAAAGCTGTGGTCAACGACAATATCTATCTGCGTTTCCTGACGAAGTCTGCAGCAAGCAATGTGATCGATGCCCTACCCCACCACCCAATTGATAAAAAGGGGTACATGGCTATTCTTCCTTTATGTAGAACATTAACCAAGTTGCAACACAGTGTTAGGAGCACTGTCAACCAGCATGGCCAGGCTTGTCAGCCTATCTCCACGGCAACAAAAACATCCAATCAACCACTCAGTCCTATGCATTAACCTCCTGGTGCTGGCATGGCTGCTGAAGCTTCCGCCCTCGTTAGACTATATAGGTCAATGCTGCAGTGGGAGGCGAAGGTGGGTGGCCTAATGGGTAGAGCGGGACAGCTCCATCCTTGGAGAACCGGGAGGAAGAACTGAGCACTAAACATAACGCCTCAGCCTTATAGACAGGGGTGAGGAGACAGGAGGGTGAGGGCTGAGAAGTGCACAGAGAAGACGAGAGCTTCAGTGGGCAGGGGAAGGGGTGGAGCTGAAGGTCCAGTGGCAGAACACTTATGAACACAGGAATTGCTAGCCCTACCGCTCCTCACTAGAGTACCAGGGCTAGGGGCCTAAAAAGGGAGATAGAAAAGGCAGGTAGAAGAGCAATGGATAGGACTGGAGGTGACAATTTAGAACCATTAGTGTTCACATGCAAGGTGCACACAAGTTTAGTTATCCTGGAAAAACACCTGCTGGACCTGCTCATCATCCCTGCCTGCCCTGGAGATCTTGAGCTAACCCTCAAGTGACTCACTGACCCGGCCTACCTTCAAGACTTTGGGCTTATCCTCTATCCTCAAATGGCACTCACGGACCACCTGATTCTCACTGCTCATGACTGCCCTGAAATGCCTGGACTCACAGTCAAGTGAGTCACATGATCAGCCGTCAGAGCTAGGAGCACACAGACCTGGTCAACCAGAACAGAGATTCCGTTCACATGTCAGATGGGATGCCACATATGTCTTTCTCAGTTTCTGGTCCCAGAGAAGTCTGTTTCTAGGACATCTACCTAGAGTACAAGCTACCAGCCCCTGGCGGCAGGGCAGAGGCTCTGCGTGAAGGGTTTAGCTCTGTTCTTGGAAAGAGGCTGCTTCACTGAGGGAAACGTCCCAGTAGTAACCAGAAAAGCACAGCCCAAAACAACCACTCAGTAATTGCAGTTAGAAAAGCTCACAAACACAAGATTATACAGAGAACTTGAAAAGAAAAAAACAAACAAACCCTATTCTCTTCACTTTTAAATGTGCTCTTTAAAAAAATGGAGCTAGGAGGGGGGTTGAAGAGATGGCTTAGTGGTCAAGAGCACTAGCTGCACTTCCAGAGGATTCAGGTTCAATTCCCAGCACCCGTATGTTGGCTCACTTTGTAATTCCAATCCCAGAGGATTTGACACCCTCTTCTGGCCTCTATGGGCACTAGGTATACACATGGTGCACATACAATCAGGCAGGTGAAAAACCCATAAAGTACACTTTTTAAAATCTGAGAAAAAAATAAATAAAATTTCAAAGTGAAGACGATGTTGGAGCTGTTAAACTCAGTCTGGAACTTCTGCAGACAGATGCAGGATGTGAGAGGCTGGGCCTAAAGGTTTTTCCAAATGAGATTCAATTCTACCTCAGAGTAAAGCAGCTCCTAGCAGTGCGAGAGAAAAAGAAATAATGAAAATGAATTTCATATTACACAGGGCAGGAGCTAAATATGACCAAGGGACATATCAGAGATGGTCAACGTGCCTGATGTCCTTTGTAAAACAAGGACAGGGTGAACAAATAAACAGAGATTTCTAAACGGGTGCAGGAGTCAGACCCCAGGCGCCACCCTTCATCCACAACCACTTGGCATCTTCAACAATAGGGAACGAACAGTTTCGGGACCACCTCAACTCCCCCCGCCTCTTCCAGTTATCTGTGGGATGATGAACTTCAGGATCCACACCTCGGGTCTTCCTTTCAAGCCATGCATGTTTCCAAGTGAAAGTAAAGGTTTGTCTCTCACTAATATTTTAAGATCAGTTATTTTTATACTCAGCGCCGTTTTTCTCGCAGTTAGACCTGCTGCTTCACGCAGGCCCAAACGCCACCAGTTCCAAAGGCACAGATCTTCGCTGCCACCTTCAACCCTCTATATGCCGTCTCTAGCCCCGGAAACTGTTAAGTTCCTCAGGCCACTATCTCTTTTTCAGATTCTTGGGCCATGCACTCAGGCCTATGGTCCTTGCCTTAGGATTTGGGGGCAGGACATCGTCATCATGACACTGTTCCCACAGCAGCAGGAGACAAGCTCGGGTCTGAGACTTCGGAAGCAATGAGGAAGGGCCACACAGGTGAGGTCAGGCACCAGGAAAGCCAAGCTAAAGGCTTGAGGTCTTGAGGAGGTATCTGGGCCATGCAGCACCATCCAGGCAGGAAAAGGACATCCAAATTGGACAGCGGGCGGTTTCCAAGCGCAGGCGTTGCAAGCGCAGATGAGACACTTGGAGACTCGGCCCCACACTTCAGTCCCACTCCGTGGAAGGCATCATCACTAGATACCACGTAGCTGTGCCTGCCCATCACGTCACGACTCTGCCTCCCAGGCTAAAGTACAGGCTCCAACCACAGATTCAGAAGCAGGAGAGCAAACTGAAGCCCCTAGACTATTCCTCTGTCAGTCTTCTTGGGGCTGTTTTGTGCCTTCCAGGGATGTGTCCCAACTTAGGACTAAGCATCGAATGGTGGAGGAAGGAGTGACTTCTATGAGATGAGAAGCCCATGAATAATGATGCTGGTATCCTTGACAACAATTCACTGCCCTTGACCGGATGCTGGGCGGCTTGACAACAATACACGCCCCGCTCTTGCTCCGGCTCCTGTCAACCTAGGCACCTGCTCACCTAAGCCAGGTCTCTTGAGGGAATCCCACACAGGCTCGCCCTCCATGTGGGGACTGTTCCCAATCTAAAGCTTGCCGTTTGGATGATCATGTTCCTAAGTTGCCTGAACACATCTTTCCATCTTCCATCTCCATCTTGGCCCCCTTATCCAGGCCAACTGGTCTAGAGCTTATAATCAGTTTGTCATGCATGCAAAATTTGCCAGTATGCCCGGGATACCCATACCTTGGAAGGCCAGAGACAGGACTGCTGGGCATTGAACTCAGGGCTGCTGCATTACATATTGAGAGGGCTTACTCAGACTTATCCCTTGGAAGACTAATAGACACAAGTGGGAGAAACAGAATAAGAAAAGCACAGCCCTGAGAAAGTGGGAGGGGGAGTTACTGTGTGAAAATAATTTTTTTTTTCAATTATAAAGCGGGACAGGGTGTGTGTGTGAACATGGCTTTGAGAAGGGGTAAGGGGCAATCCAGGAGGTGTTGGAAGGGCAAACGTGATCAAAATACATTGTATGCATGCGTGACATTCTCAAAGAATATTTTTAAAATAATAAAAAGTAAAAAGAAAGCAAGCCACGGCCCGACACCATCCCCAGCTCCTAGGGACGTTACCCCGTTTCTCACTGATTCTGAGCAGAGGACACAGATTGCTCGCTGCAGTTCTATGGGGGCTGACCCAGCACCATCCACCTCAAAGATGCTCTCAATTTTCATCCCCTCGAAATTATGCCCTTCCTCCCAAGTGACTCCATTTTTTTGTGATCCATAATTTTTTTTTTCGGGGGAGGGGGTGTGTGTCTTTTGTTTTGTTTTTTGAGACAGGGTTTCTCTGTGTAGCCCTGGCTACATAGAGAACTTGGAACTTGCTCTGTAGACCAGGCTGGCCTCGAACTCAGAGTGATTAATGGTTTAGAGAGGTGTGTCAGGAAAATGGGATTTCATCACCCATGTCTGAGACTCCAGGGCAGAGAGGGGCCACCAAGCAGACACCGGAGAGAAGGTCACAAGGGAAATCCCCAGAGTGAGGTCAACGGATCCCCCAGGGGCTGGTTCCAGTCAGAGCATCTATTTTCCATGTTCTGTGATCTCCAGGTGTTTTCCAAAAGTGATACATATTATTATAGGAAATGTCCCTGCCCCCAAGGTGGCGCCAGCTCTTCCTTGACAGAGCTTCCCCAGCTCTCACTTCTGAAAGACAGCAGGGTGGGGAGGGCCTTCTTCCTCTCAGCCTGCAGTCCGTGTGGCGGTGCCATCTAAAGCAAAACCAGAACACACGTTCTGAGGCTGCCAGAGACAGGACGTTGGCTCTTAGCTTCTGAAAGTCATCTCTGGTATCTTCGTAGGAGGCAGGGTACTCTCCTTCTAGAAGGTTTTGTACTTGGCCGGAACTACTTATCAGAATATGTCCAATTCTACTTTAATATTCTCCGGGGCAGGAATACACCGTACATACAATGGTCAAATTTTTTTTTAATTTATTTATTTTTATTTTATGTGCATTGGTGTTTTGCCTGCATGTGTGTCTCTGTGAGGGTGTCAGATCTTGGAGTTACAAACAGTTGTGAGCTGCCATGTGGATGCTGGAAATTGAACCCCGGGTCCTCTGGAAGAATAGTTAATGCTCCCAACCTCTGAGCCATCTCTCCAGCCCCCATGGCAGCCAAACTTTAGGCAATTCACTCTATCCTAAAGTTATTCTGCAAAGATCAAGAAATAAATCTGGCAGGGCTGGGTTGTGGGCTGGTGGGGAGCAGGGTCCTCTGCGCTTGCTTTCTGAAAATCTCCCTTCCGCGGCAGTTCAGCTCAAGTTTATACTTTGGCAACAAGAACACAGACACCTCTGAGCTTTCTTTCTTGTCCCTGCCCTGTGTTCCACTGTTCCCAGTCTGGACATCCACACTACTACCACCTCCAGTCTCCAGGAGGGGACCCAATTTGGGCTCTAGCTAGGGAGATCTATGTGTGTGTGCTTGGGATTTCTGTTCCTATTCACAGTTGGGAGAGCCTCACAAATGATCTGCTCTACGAGATAGAGATGAACAGGCCTGTCCATTGGTGACCCCGGTTCTGGCCCCCACAGGCTGGCGAACTCTGGACATGCGGCCCCGACTCTAAATCAGACTTAGCTCTGCTCTCCCAGAAGTGCTGTGGAAGATCTGAACAGGAAACGGAAGCCAAGTGCTAGCTCATAGCAGCCCCTTTTGCTAACGGCACACCGGCATGTTGGACATACAGGCGCAAGGCTACCATCCACAAACCCCCACCATCCCCACCACAGGCAAACCAGCCTCATCTCAGAGACTGGAAAACTGAGGCTCAGCAAGATTCACTAATTCCTTCAAGGCTCAAACTACCAAACAAAGCGGGGTTCTGCCCTGGTCCAACATCAAATTCACTGGGCTGGTCAAACTCAGGGTGGGCAGAGTGGGGCTGAGGTCACAGCTCACTGGCAGCTTGAGGGTGAGATGCCACCTACACGTCATCACCATACTGCTAGGAATTATTACCCTAGGTCTAGAAGCAGAGGAAAGACCCCGAATGTCTTATCAACATCACATTCCACGCAAAAATCAAGGGCTGGAACGTTCAGGTCTGCAAACCAAATGGCCTGCTACCCCTTCTGTGAAGAAACATCAAAAGCCTTTTCCTGGGATAGGCTGCTTCTGCATGCTGCCATTCCGTATTAGCAACAGAGTGACAGAGAGGAGCCGCTGTGGAGAGGGTGTGCCCCGCAGGCTGAGATGTCAACTGCGTCTCTTTGTCCTCGTCTAGACCACCATTCAATGTCTGGAGCAAGTCTTGTTCTCACTTCCTACTTATCGCCTCTTAGTAAAGTTAGTTAGAAACTTCCAGAAGACAGGAAAGTTACAAATTATCCCACAGAGAGACAAAGGGCTCTTCCGGTCCTGGTGAACTAACCAGTTTTACATATAACTAGCCTGCCAATATTAACTCGCTCAAAGCCTTTTTTATTCCCTATTCCCTGTGCTCTGTGGGGCTTTTCTCCCGCTCTCTCCTCCACTCTCCTCTGCCCGGCTGCACTCCCTCAGTCCCACACACGTGCTCAGGGTGTGTTTGCGCAAGAGTCACACTTTTAGCTATAGAGAAATCACACTCTATGGGACACCCACAATGCCCGCCTGGCCAGTGGTTAGCAAAGCAGCCCTGGGACCCCGCGGCACACACAGCATTCCCAGAAAGCAGTGCACTGCAGTGGCAAACGGGTACCTTGGCGTCCTGGCGGCTGCGGGAAGCCAGGGCGATCTGCCTGGCCAGCTTCAGGGCTTCTATTCGCATGATGGCAAACTCTAACTCCTCCTGCCCAAGGGGTAGGGGGTGAGCAGACCATAGGGAAAGGCATCAAGACAGACAGAAGGTTTTCCACATCCAGGGATGAATGTGCCACATAAATGCATATGACAGCGATCGTGGGAAAACATACGCTCAGCTTTCTCTCACAACCAGCACCTCAGCAGATCATGAAACAGGGGTTTCATTTCCTTTTTGGGAAGAAAAACCCACCACCAACAAAACCCCACCCCTTTGAAGGTGTGTCAAGAAAAACCATGCAGTCGGATGTAAACCGATTTTCCAAACAGGATGGCAGCTTTTACTCTATGGCAGTTTTTGACTTCTTTCCTTTTGTTCTTTTAAACGTTGACCAGCGCTTGCTGTCAACAGCCAGGCATCTCTCAAGAGGCCTGCTAACAGTCTCTCTAGGTTGGCCTCACTTCCTAGGCCAAGGGGATCGCAAATTAAGCTGTTAAATTTCCGCAATAGAGATAAGTATTTTGTATTCCAGAAATAAGATGGAGTCCAGATGTTGTCTCAATGGGAATCTGGGATTGTCTTATGTATTTAAACAGCTTGGCCTGACCTGATACCTTTGGTGTAGTGAATAAATCATAAACACGGCCTGTGGGGCTATCAATACATCAGAGAAATGACTATTGGGGCCAATTTCACAATAGAAATAGAAACAGTCCGTTCAGTACGTAATCACACAATGTGTATAATTCTGGCATCCCGGCTCTAGCACACATATGTACCAGTGTCTGAGATGAAATACTTCAACAGGACATTCCCACTACCGCCTCATTAAGTTCTGCCTCGGCTCAGAATTTGGCTCGGGGGTTCATTTTCTACTGAGGTTTAGACAAACTCCCAAAAGGTCACATACGGGCTACAAACCTGAAGTTTCTGAGCAAATACTGGGGGGTTCTTTTCTGCTAAGTCAGGCTCCAGATAGTCAAGTGCACCACAGAGAGAGGCAGGATGGGCCAGCCTGCTGAGGAGGGCATCTGCAGACGCAAAGGCACCCTCCGGAGCTGTCTGAAGGCCGGCGGAGAGGAAAATGGAAAATAGAGGGGAGTAGAAAGATATTGATGTCAAGCAAGGACCACACACACACAGTGCGCATTGCTGCATTACGGCTAAAGAGAACACCAATTAGTGGCCAATACTCAGATTGCCATTTGGACTGAGACCGGCAGGCCCCGCTCCTCCTCCCAAAAAGCTGCACCTCAGCCCCTGGTCAAAGTCACCTTGTCTCCGAGTCAGAGCAGTGGAAGTCGCATAACCATTGCTTTTTTTTTTTTAATCTGAAAATCTCCACGAGTCGGGGGCAAGCTAGTTGACGGGTTTTCCAATGCCAACATAGGTTCATCAAAGAAATAGCACCAAGGATAAATATCAAAGAAAGTAAAGTTTGAGGAAGGGCCTTTTTTAGTAGTGAAAAGATGATTTCAAACTAAAAGGTAACTCCTCGTAGATTAGAAAGACTTCCAAACCGGAGGGCAACTTTGCAGGGGTTGAACCACGGCCAAGTCTGCCACAGGATATATATGCGAGATCGATTCACATCTAGACCCTCTAGCTGTTCACTAATGGTGTTTCCAGTATTCAACCCAGCGTCCAACTGCCGTAGGCATAGGAGGTGCTCTGAGAATGTCTGCAGCATGCAGCATGAGACAGATCAAATTGCCTAATATAGAACAATGCACCAACCTGAACAGTTTCAAACTTGCATGAAGATTGCTAGGAGGAAGGCAAAAGAAAAAAAATATAATCGAGCCAACTTGGTTTGTTTAGGACACGTGGAAGACTCTCACATGGATATTACACACTCTAGGGAGAGCACACGTAACATACAGGCAGTGGCGACAAAGAGGCCTCATCTCAGGGCCCAGGTCCTACAAGGCTTCAGGAGGGTTTGGATGAGAAATTGAAGCCCTGGACCGTGAACAAGAGAAATCGCCTATCACTGAGACCCAGGATACACACAGCTGATCCCTAAAGAAGGATGGACGATCCTTCCTCTATCCTTGTTTTTCTATACTGGCTAGAGAGGCTGAGCACAGCTCCAGCTTGTCTGTCAGGCAAGTTCCAAGGAGGAAAAATGGAAAACACACCTGAGCAAAATAAAGCAGTTGACTGAGAACTGCACGGCCACCATGGGAAAAAAATGAAGGCCTTTCCCTCGCTGTGAATGCAGGGTCTCACAGGCTGACTGACCACTGTGGTCCAGAGTCAGAGTGGGGCCCGCAACTAGGTGAGGAGTGACCTCAACAGAGGGCGGAGCCACAGAGCCCCTCAGGCAACACTTACAATCTCAATAGCCTCTGTGGGGGTGCCCAAGGCCATGGCTTCCAGCTCCTTCTGGGAAGATTTCTCTGGCACCTGCAAGAGAGGCTCCTGGTTGGAGACCAGGCCTCGTGTGACAGGATGCTGGAGTTTTGTTGCAGCGTTCACAAGGGCTTCAGTCTCCTCAAAACTTGACCTGAGGAAAAGAAGTCAATCATTAGAATCATCTCCTTGGAGACTCACAGAAGTCTTAGGAAGCTCTCAACATCCCACAAAATCGTCCCTTCCAAGTCTGTGTCCAAGGAAAGACAAAGGCCAGGACCTCAGTAGCCATCCACCTAGAGGCAGGCTACGGTCCAGCCATGTTTAAGGGCCAACCGACAAGAGAAGGACACAATACAGATGCCTTTGGCAAGGGGACTGAGCTCTGGAGTTCAGGGACCAGCCACTTGTGTGTTCTGTTGGAAGGAGGCTGGGTATCACTCCTGCTTTTCCTTTTTAGAAAATGGAGACAGGCACCTTTGAGAAGATAAAGTCAGATGCTACATGAATACAAAGCATTCCTCCACACAGTGCCTGCCACACGGGGCCACTCCTGGAGAGATGGCATCACTGTCCTAACACCTGCCACCTGGACAGAGCTGGGTCTGCGAGGCCCACAGTAAGTCTGAGAGACCAAAGCATGAGCTTCCAGTCCTGCTCAGCACAGAGCAAGCATCCAGGGATGGATGGGACAACCTAAATGATGGAGCAATGCCGTATATTTTCCCAATCAAAGGTTACGCCTTTCAGAATGTGGACACTGGCACAGGCAAACATTAATATCCGCGTTAATAAGAAATGTCTGCCGTGCACGGTACATATGCTAGGCACTCTGACACCGGCTCTCCATACATCAGCTCCTAGAAGCCAGGTTCCTTATGTCTGCCACTTAACCGCCCTGGGGACAGACAGTCCTCTTTAATCTCCCCAAATCCTTAGAGGTCACTTTACTCCTCTCACTTTACACAGGGAAACTGAGGCATAGGATGCCCAAGTAACTCCCACCAGATACGGAGATGGGACTTAAGTTTTCAATGTTGTAGTACATTGTTCCTATTGGATAGATGACAAAGTAGAGTATGAACACTGTGTGTGTGTGTGTGTCTGTCTGTCTGTCTGTCTGTCTGTCTGTCTACTAGAGGGTACTGCCAGTCAGCCTCTTCACCTTCATTCACAGGGCCCTCAGAAATAGCAGTGATGCATCTGTGCCCTTGTGGGCAGACCGAGTTAGAGGCTACCTGCAGACATGCAATGGAATGAAGTCAGAATAACAGTGGGAAGGTAGACAAAAACTTGGGGGCCTCTGGCCTAAGCCACAACTCTCTCATCATAGAAATCATACCCCGAACATGGAGTTGGGGAATCCGACATCCGGACCGGAGGAGACTTGACGGGGCTCTCCTGCGAGGTGTCAAACATAAGGTACAAGGCCTGCTTCTTCGGAGTGTCATCTTCCTGCTGCAGGAAGCAAAGTCACACGTCCCATTAGCTGGGCACAGTGGCCTGAGTCTGCCACCCAAGTGAAGAGAGCACTCACTGACAAGAAACAAGCAAGCCTTCAGTTTTCTCTCGCTCCCGGGAAGAGATGAGAAAGCAGGAGGGAACCAGGAGAGGGCCAGGAGGGTGGGAGAGTGGGACCTGTGGAGATCTAAGGTGAGAATAGCCCACTGGCTCTGCTATGTGTCCTGTCCCGGCAGTGTTGAGGATGCAGAGTTACCCAGCCACGCTCTCAGTCCTCACAAAGGAGTGGGGGAAGACAGCATGCTGACCCCAGTAATGAGCGCCACCACTGAGGCCCTGTGGTGGTCTGAATGAGACGTCCCCCATAGTCTTGGGCATTTGAATACTTGGCCCCCAAATGATGGTGTTTGGAAGGTTTAGGAGGCAGGGCCTTGCTGGAAGAAGCTGTGTAACTGGAGGCGGGCTCTAAGAGTTTAAACTCCTATACCCTCTTGCTTGTGATTCAAGACATGCTGGAAACCCCACAGAAGCTGCTAGGCCAGGGTAGAGGAGGAACTCACGGGTAAGGAGGAGCCAAGCTTTTCCATGTATTCGATTTCATAGGAGTTTCTGTAGTCCAGCTCTGAAAACCAAAAGGCGAGATGAGTACCTGGGAGACTGAAGGACCTGGCCCAGCAGGGGGTGTGCTGAGTTTCGGGGGACCCAGCCCCCAGTGAGACACAGTTCAGCTATCATCAGTCTGTGAGCATCCTCCTGGTGGGAGTTATTGCCCTTAGGAATATGAATGAGCCCCAAGGAAATGAAGCCACGTGTCCACAACACACAGGTCTGCAATGGGGGACCCATGCACTTCTATTGTGTTCAGACTGGAGGGGATAGGAGTTTGGGGGAATGGTTTTTTTTCCTAACTCTCAAGGGCTGCACATAGGATGACATAGCGCAGTGACATCTTGGAACTGTACTGCACCCGTCCCTCTCTGTGTATTCAGTACCCTCAGGACAGGCAACACTTCTCCGGGGTTGCTTCATCAGCTAGTCATTTTCCCTCAGTTCTACTGGTAGTTTCGGGGCTGAGATAGATCTGACGTTTTTGAGGTTTTAGGGATCTCTCTTAAGGTCCCGTGATCACAGTTACTAAGGAGAGTACGTGGGTTCAATGCCTGCCTGGGCTATCGAGTTAGGTTCAAAGGTAGCCTGGACAAGGAGACTTTTGTCTAAAAGTGGGGAATATTAAGAGGGTTGGGGATGTTGTTTTAGTGGGAGTGCTTGACGGGAGTGTACAGCGCCCTGAGTACCATTCCTAGTACAGGGACGGAGGGAGGGAGGAGATACTTCTCATCTGCTTTAAATTCTGACCCCCTGAGAGCAGGCATGCAGATGAAGTCAAGTAGCACCCTCTCACTCCAGGCCACATGCAGGTGGCAGGCTGGGAACAGTTCCACCATTAGCACCAAGTAGCACTTGTCTTCACAAACTCAGGGGGCGCTGAGGCACTGAAGGATAGGGCTACTTCACACTGAAGAGGTCCATAGTTATGTTTAAAGGATCCTCTTGTATCCAAGGACCACTTGGGAGAATGACCTCATCCCGTGGCATCACAGAGCAAAGAGGAATGGACCGTTTGCCAGAATCTAATTGCTAGAGCTTTTACTAGGGAAGAGCCCTGGGCGGGGGACGAAGCGTCTTCGTTTCTTAGAATGAAGTCTAAGTCCACCTTACTGAACTGCTCTGTGCCTGCTGATTCAACAAAACGAAACTCGAAGTGCCACACTGTCCTGGGTGACATGACAAAGCGTGACAGGAAGTCCTGCAGTTGGTCATACACTCCGAAGAATGATGGCCAGACTTACTGTCGCTCAACCTAACATTTTTCTTTAAACTCAAGCGATGTTTCATTAAGGGGAGATGGACAGAGAGCCCTGGAGGAGGATGAGGAGACTACGCTCACCTTCTCCTGCCCCCTTCTCAGTCTCTGTCATGAGACAGCCTTGGATGCCCACCCAGGCAGACAGCAGTTGTGTGTAGAGGCGCCAAGTGACTATGCAGATTTGTGGGTCTAAAAACAATTGTTCAGGGCTGCAGAGATGGCTCAGTGGGTAATAGGCACTGCTCTCCCAGAGGACGGGATTCAGTTCCCAGCACCTGCACAGAATGGCTCACAACCACCGGAAACTCCAGCTCTTTAGATCAAATGTCCTCTGGACTCTAAGGGCACCCATAAACACATGATGCAGAGAAGCTCATGTAGACACCCATGCACACGAGGGCAGGGAGCCTGGTCTCCTCTCATCAAACAGGATATAACGATGAAGCCAGGCAGGCGCCTGCACAGATCACCTCAGGCCTTCTCAGTGTGCAGCCTCTGTTTCCTGTCTTAAAGTGGGGAACTACAGGATCTGGCACAGAGCTCAGAGGAAATGAAGCCTTGCATGCAAAATGATAGGCCCCACTTTCCTCTCCTCTCCTATAGAATTACCACGGCTGTGCATGTGTGTTCAAATAGTAATTATGACGTCCAACCCAATGTTTCCTTTTCCTGTGGTAACTTCTGAGGGATGAAGTCTCGCCTGCAGCTGCAGCCCTGAGCTGACTCACTCTGAAGACCATTATCAGCGTCTGCCACTAAGAGAACAAGAGGGAAGACCCAACGAGAGGCTTCTCCATCCAGAGCGTTACAGAAGTGGTAACAGCAAAGCCAATGCCCCCTAAAGCCACAATGTCTTCATGTGAGTGGGTGGATTCTCCAACACCCAAATCTTTACTGTCATTTCCTAAGGAGGCAGATTTCAGAGTTTTGTCTCGAAGTTAAAACTATCATATGCCTATTTTCAGAATTCTCTCTCTCTGTGTGTATGCATGTGTGTATAAATAGTCTACATGTATGAATGTGGGTGTTTGCACACCACAGTGCATGCATAGCTTGCCATTCTTTGCCCTCCACTTGTCTGAGGCGGGCTTTCTTGTTTTGTCTCGTTTCTTCAGATAAATATGGCAGGCTAGCTGGCCTCGGAGCCTCTGGAGAGTCTCCTGTCCCTGCCCATAGCTCCCCGTATTGCACATGTCAGGCTTTTGACAGGGATTCTTGGGGTTCGACCTCAGGGTCTCACACCGGCACAGCAAGCACCTTTACTCCCCGAGTCAGCTCACGAAGCCCTCCCTATTGGCTGGATTTTTGCAGAAACAGTTGTCAGAAAGTTTAGTGACTGTGTTAGCACGTGTCAACACACACACTCCCAGATCAAATGTGTTTAATTCTCAGAACAAGCCCAAGCTTGTTTCTATATGCTTTTTCTGGTGTTCACATTTGTTTGTTTTTTAATCTAGCTTTGGACTCAAGAGAGGTGGGCCAGCAGGGAACTGGAAATGATATCAAGTGGGAAGTGAGATGCTTGTGTCCAAATGTCCTCGCTGCTTCTGGGACATTAGGCTTCTCTGGTCCCTACACTTCGTGCGGGTGATGGCTGCTGCAAAGTTCAAACTGACTGCGCCGATGCTCAGCTGTTTATGTACCCTGGCCTTGCGTTTATCTCAAACCCATCTTTAGCACCTATGATGTTCATAGTAGTTAGTGTGGGGACATGGAAAGGAATCAGAATTGTTGCCTTCAGTAAACAAACAGCCCAGTAATGAACAAGAAATGCACACACATCTTCATCATGGTGCGAAGAGCCCCCAAATCAAGCATTAAAGGCAAGCAGGGAAAGGAGTGGATATCCAGGTAAAGGTTGAGACAGGCAAAGGTGGGAAAGGGAGAGTGAGCTTCTGGTTCTCCTGTTTCTATCTTCCAGACTGCTGGGATGATAGGTGTGTGCCTCTACACCTAGTACTTACACAGTGGGGAGTTAACCCAGGGTTTCATGTGTGCACACGACCAACTGAGTACACCCCAGCCCTAAGATACATGAATTATTCAAGTCAACCAGAGAGGAAGCAGAAACTGAATACACAGCACAAAGGAAGACACTGAGATACAAGTGCTTGGGATCTTCCCAAATCAATCAAGTCCTCATTAGCAAGCCTGGGGAAAACCTATGGCTCCAGGCTTGGTTCAACTGTGTGACCATATTGTCTGACCAATCTGTAGAGGATAGGAACAATGATGGCACCAAAAGACCCATAGGTGGGTTGACCTATTAGTCAAAGTTCTATGCGACCGAGGTTCCTTTGGAGCTGTGTCTTTCAAAACTACAGAAGGTATCAGAAGTCATCCAGCCAAGAACAAGCAAGTGAGGTTTCAGGATCTGGGTTAGAGGGGACTAGTCTGGTTCTCAGCAGGCATCATGTGGTCAAGGGGCAGCAGCTCTCAAGCCTTAGCTTAGCATACAACGGGAGGTGTACAGGCTGTCACACGGGTGATGGTTACCTGGCTGGCAAGTATCTTTCCTGGCTCTTTGCCCCCTAGCGACAGTATTCTCCAAGGCAAGGTGTGGGTCGGGCTGGCCACCGAGTTGCTTACCCTCTGAGGGCGAATTGAATTTGGTCTCATTTACAAAGTTAGACAGATCCGAGGGCTGTGGGAAGTCCTGTTTGTCAGCATCCAAGTCTACTGTCATACACGTCCACTTCTGGCTGGTGACGGCCAGTTTCTCCTCGTCTGTGGCTTGGACCACCGCAGAGATTGCTGGGGGTGCTTCCGGTGTGGCAGCTGGAGTGGAGTCCTGTGAGGAGAGGGGACAGTCTGTTCTTTGATCCAGTCTCAGAATCCATGCCCCTCAAATCAGGGAAACCCCTTCATTTGTCTCCCCAGGACTCTGATCCACAGTGTCCCCAGAGGAAACATTCCTCTATTGATCTCCTTTATTGATGATTGATTTTAGAGAGTGACCATGGCTTTACCAAAATTAATTAATTAAAAAGAAAGCTAGACATGGTAACTCCTGTCTGTAACCCTAATTAGGCAGAAGGATTGCTGGGAGTGTGAGGCCAGAATGGGCAAGGATGTAAGACCCTTTCTCTAAGGACTGGGCATGTGGCTTAATGGTATGCTGCTTCCTTAACTTGTATGTGCACAGTCCTGGGCTCAATACCCAGCACTGAAAAACAACAACAAAAAGCCTCAGTGTGGTGGTTCACCTCTGAGATCCCAACATTCAAGAGACTGAGGCTAGCCTGGGCTATGTAGTAAGTACCAGGCTAACCTGAACTAGTTTGAGACCCTGTCTCAAAACAAAACAATACAGGCTGGAGAGATGGCTCAGAGGTTAAGAGCCCTGGTTGCTCTTCCAGAGGCCCTAAATTTATTTCCCAGTACCCACCTGGTGGCTCATAACCATCCATAATGAGATCTGGTGTCCTCTTTTGGCATGCAGGCATATATGCAGGCAGAACACTTTATAAATAATAAATAAATCTGTTATAGGATAATGCTCTTGTACCCTGCAAAGATTTATCACTAATATTGGTTTAATAGCCAGGCAGGAAATATAGGGGGGGGGTCAACCAGACTAGGAGAATTCTGGGAAGAGGAAAGGCTCAGTCTGCAGTTACCAGCCAGATGTAGAGGAAGCAAGATGAGAGTGCCTCATTGAGAAAGGTACCAAGCCACATGGCTAAACATAAATAAGAATTATGGGTTAATTTAAAATGTAAGAGCTAGTTCATAATAAGCCTGAGCTAACAAGCCAAACAGTTTATTATTTTTCTAAGTCTCTCTATGTGTTTTGTTGGGACTGAAAGGCTGCGGGACTGGACAGGACAAAAACTTCTGTCTACATAAATCTTTTTTTTTTTAAATATTTATTTAATTATTTATTTATTATGTATACAATAGTCTATCTGGTGTATGTCTACAGGCCAGAATAGGACACCAGACCTCATTACAGATGGCTGTGAGCCACCATGTGGTTGCTGGGAATTGAACTCAGGACCTTTGGAAGAGCAGGCAATGCTCTTAACCACTGAGCCATCTCTCCAGCCCTACATAAATCTTTTAAAAAACAAACAAACAAAAACAATAAATAAGTCTCTGTCTTGATTATCTGAGACACTTGTGCCATCAGCACTATCTAACAGTCCTCCCACCAGTTCTTATGAAAAGAAGGGGGTTTTACTGGGAGAACCCAGGAGAGAGTTACAGCTGGACCTGAAGTCTCCTATTCCTGGAGCTAAGGTCCTAGTATGTTCTTTCACTTCCACCTGGTCAGCAACTGAAGCTGGTTTGAATATAAAGGTCAACTTGTCTTATAACCCAGAACGGCAAGCCTACCTGAGGATTACCTTCCTCAGGAAAAATGAGGATTATAAGGCATGGTATGAGCTTGTTAGAAATACCACTAAGAGGGAAATAGACTCATAATGAATTTAAGCCCCCACTTCTTTTTCTTAAAGATTTTTGTGTATATAAGGGTTTTGCCTGTGTGTCTGTATGTGCATCATGTGTGTGCAGTACCCACAGAGGCCAGAAGAGGGTGTTAGAATCCTCGTACAAACAGTTGTGAACCACCATGTGGGTGCTGGGAACTGAACTTGGATCCTCAGCAAGAGCAGCAAATACCTTTAAATCGCTGAACCAGCTCTCTAAGCCCAAGCTTCTTAAGAGTAAACATCCCTCATCTTCCTACTGTGTGGCATAATTTGGTGTTCTTTATACATAATGAGTCTCCACCCCTTTTCTCACTCTGTGTCCATTGATCTCAACTTGATGCAAGTTCTCAGCAGGCTAAATGGTCAGAAAAGACAAAAGAATTCCTGCTATAAAATCTAGCCCTCATTTTCAATTAATTCCTCTCAGCACACCTTGATCTCTATCAAAGTGATGTGGATCAAAACACTCCATGCCATAAAGAGAAAAAAAGGAAAACTCTTTTCTCCCTGTTTTTTGGTTTGCATGTATGCATGGCTCATGTGCATCTGTGCAGGAGTGTGTGTGTGTGTGTGTGTGTGTGTGTGTGTGTGTGTGTGTGTGTACAGACAAAGCAGCATAAACTTCCTGGTCAGCAGTGTAATACTCAAGGGATCAAAGGAGTGCTGTACCTGAGAAGGCGGATCAGACAGAGGGGACCTCTTTGGTGACTTCTTCACCCTAAAAGTGTCACTGTAAATAAAACGGAAAATGTAAACACGGGGTCACAGATCATTCCCAAGCACCCGGCAACCACCCAGCGCTCCCGCCTACCCAAAAGCTCATTCTGACTTTTTAGCCGATATTATTTTTGCCCCCGAGGGGAAGATCCATCAAGCCAGAGACCTTTAACAAGAAGCCACTTTGGAGAGCTGACCCAGAAAAATGCAGCTAAATTTAACTAACCCTTCTTACTATCACGCAGCGAAGTTGTGGTGAGGAGAATCATTTCTGAGCCAGCTAAGGCTGGGGGAAGGGCTGCAGGCTCATGACTAATTAACAGATTCAATTTTCACATGGGCAAGGAGACACGGCTCTTAATGAACAGCCAGCCGAGCCTACATGGAAACAGAAAGTTCTGGATCCCGTGGGGATGCAGGAGCCCTTTGTGCTCACAGGAACACGGAGCCCAGTGGGTTCTTCTGCTCTGGAAGCCTGAGTGGGGTTCTGACTGAGGAGGAGTCTCCCTGGCTGCGGGTAACGGACACAACTCCATCCTCTTGTCTCTCCTTTCTCCCCTTCACTTAAGGTGATGGAGGTGGGGCAAACTGACCCCAGGAGAAAGGGGCGAGTTTGAGCATAAATAGTACTATTTGGTCCATTCGTCAGCATGCTCTTGAGGTCATAATCAAAAGTGAAAGCCCTCAACCTGCAAACTGGTCCTCCCATCATCCTGGTGTCCAGCTCTCCCCACTATGGTTTTAGAACCAGGCAAAGCTAGAGCTTAGGTGTGGAGGAGGCAGGGTCCCTCGATTAAAATCCCACCACCCTCCTCTGTTTTCCCTGTTGACTAAGTAGATAGAGAAATCTGATACCCAAAGTTCCTTCCTTGTGTACTCTCAAATACAACGCTCCAACAATGGCATTTGATTATAAAAAAAATACCATAAATGGTTTTTTATAGCATTTATGGCATTTGCCATAAAAAACAGTCCAGTCCCAACATAAGGCATATATTTATTCATGCATATAAATATATAGTTGTTTTATAGTTGCTAAATGACTTGAAAATACTAAAGCGGCTGCTTGAGTAGGACAGAATTGGGAGCCTTCGTGCTCTCCTGAAGGCTGCCAGAAGCCTGGGTCCAGGTCAGCTTCCCCGGCAAGAGCAGGGAGAAGGCACCATAGATTCAGAGCCCCGAGCTGTGCCCTGGCTAGGGTACGGAGCACCAGAGGCATACGGGTGACCAGTGCATTGACGCATGGCAGAGATGCCCATGGAAGAGACATGTTGGCATCCAGTCTAGACCTAAGTAACCGAGGACATGAACCAAAGCACTCTGGCAACGGTTCTCAGCCACGGATTCCACTCCGAGTGGATCCCACATTCCCTCCGGTTTCTACAAGCACGAATGTGGAAGAGCCCAAATGGTAGTGCCTCGGCGTACCAAGAAACAGCCTCAGCAGTCTCTGCCCCAGGCTTCACGCAGCGCTAAATATGAAAGCATCCTGCTACTGAACGGATCACCCGCCAGCCCAACTGATAACAAAAGAATGGAATCGGGTGTTAAAAACCAATATATGGATTTCAGAAGAAGATACGAGGGCGCGGGGTGGGGGGACGACAGGCAGTGGAAGGCTTCCATTTCAGACAGACAAGCAGGCAGCTGTTGGCTAGCCATGTTTTCACAACCAAGCAGTCTCGTGCTAATCATGATGAAACAGATAAGGAAGCTTGACTGCAGGGGAGCCCTGACCCATCCCTGCCAAGATCTACACAGAAATACAGCAGCCACCACAGAGAAGAAAGGAAAAGGGTTGCGAGCAGAAGCCCCACATTGGATGCAAGAGGCAGATTGCATTAAATTTACTTACAACAGAGAACACACAGACATCACATCTTCAACCATCCTAAGACAAAAAGACAAAGAAGAGAGACAGACAGAAGGAACTGACAAAAAAGATAAATCTGCAGACACCGGGCACTAGTGGGTTAGGATGTGGCAGCCATCCATAGCGGATTCTGCTCCAGGGTGGACAGTCCAGCCTTCTGGGAAGGGGTTGTTGCCTTCCTCTCTAGCTTCTGATCACCCAGAGAGTTGGTACCTAAGAGCTCTGCCTCCGCAGGAGAGTCTTCCAAACCAACAGACCCACATGTACTAAGGGTGACAGCGGGACACAGGGTCAGCTTCCCCAACCTTCTTAGCTCTGATGAACAAAGGGGGAAAAAAACGACTAGGGATGTACTATACTATCTTGGGTCAGAAGAAGGAAGTGCCTACCAGGTGACTCTTTCTAAAGATGAGAAGTTATGGCTTTGAAGTGTAAGCATTGCTGGGTCTTAGTCTACTCTCCCCACCCCTATACAGGGTTTCTCTGTGTAATAGCCCTGGCTGTTCTGGAACTCACTCTGTAGACCAGGCTGACCTCAAATTTAAAGATCCGCCTGCCTCTGCCTCCCAAGTGCTGGGATTGAAGGCATGTGCCACCACCACCTGGTTAATACTCCACTCTTAAAATAAATTTTTACATGGATTTGGGTGAGTGGGTAGGTAGGGAGGATCTGGGAAGAGTTGAGGGAGGGGAACCATGAACAGAGTATATTGTATGAGGGGGAGAAAATCTATTTTCAGTAAAAGTTAAAATTAGTTTTAAAAATAAGGTTCTAATATGAATCTTATAGAATCTCTATGAAGGGTCTGGTTGGGGAACAGAGCTAAAAACAAGTTCATGTTTGGAGCCAGACTGGCCTTCAGTTACTGTAAGATAGTGACTGAACAACTTAAGGCCAAAGCAGAACCTGAATTATTCTCAGATAGCCAATGCAGATGGGTCACCCTGTGTTAGTAGACCCAGAGGGTCCAGCCTGGCATGGGAGGCTGAGTCTCCCACCTGATTAATTACACTGATGCTTCCCAAGAGAGCCAGGATGTCTGTGGCAACTGGACACATGGTCCTTGGCTTATAGATCCTCAGAAATGGACCTATAGTTGACAAAGTTGGACTTCTCAGGATGAGTGCTGGGCACCAACACAAAACAGCTAGGGACAATCGTTGGCAAGTGTTTGTGGGCAAAAGCCATTTTTCCTAGGGATTATAGGGCTTTACTTCCCCCATCCAGGTCCCACCAATCTCTTTAGGTCTCATAGGTACTTTCAAGTCTTACTTGAAAAAGATGTCCAATGGAAAGGCAACAAAGAGCCCATTTTTAAAAATAGGCTCATTGGAGGGCAAGCAGCAGCTCTCCTTCCGGGGCCTCCTGCAGCCTGCTGCCCTATGTGGCCTCTGAGTTAAAGAGACATCCATCAGCAGGTAGAAACAAATGCTGTAGATTCTGAAGGGTGTATATCCCAACCAATCCAAACGCAACACCTATGCTAACCAGGGAAGAGTTCAGCCACCAACAGGAGGGCAGCCAGGCCTGCTGCTTCTCTACGGAACTTCCCATATTTCCCTGGAGTAGAAACGTCAGCATTAGCTAAACATAAAACTTCAAGTCCCTGATTTATTAAGGACTTTGTGGGCTCAGGGATAAGAAGATGATACAGCCACAGGGGCTGCAGAAAGGAAGTGTGTATCCTGCCTGCTTGCAGAAACAGCCACAAAAAATGGTGTCATTACAGTGACAAGGGGCAGGATGAGGGCAGCTGGGGCTTTTCCCAGGCACAGGCAGGACCAGAAGTCACAGCAACGCACACCCACTCTGAATCCTCGCCACCTCCCTCCTTGAACTTACGTCTTCAGGGGCGTCTTCTTCTTCTTGGCGGGCTTATTCAACCCATCCCCGTCCACTTCAGCGGTGCTGGCTGGGATCTCAAAAGACGCTGGGGATTTGGAAGGTGAGCTGGGGGTCTTAGAGGACGTCTTAAAGGGGTCAAGGGACTCTTCACAGGCATCAGGGTCAAAGTTGTACGACTGTTGGGGCAGTTTGGGAGAGTCTTGCATTTTTGAGGTGGAGGAGAAAGGGTTAAAGTTGGGGTCATCCCACTTGTCTATGTCAAAGGTGTAGGTACCTTTAGCAATAGGGATGTCATTGGGTTCAGTAGGGGACCTTGGAGGTGAGGCAGGAGTGTTGTCAAGTTTCTCAGGTGTCTTTTTCATCTTTGGCCTCCTTAGGGGCATTTTGGCAGCTGGCTTCTTGCCTATCTTTTTGGTGTGAGGGGCGTTTTCCTGCTGACTGTCCCAGTTACTCTTGTCCTCAGAGTAGTCAAACTCCAGCCTCACTGAGAGTCCTTTGGCAGGCAAGTCCTCCTGCCCCCCACTCTCTGATAGGGTCACCTCCACTGCCTCAGGGGCTGTGGTAAGAGGCACTGATTTCCTCCCCACAGGGGGTGAGTTCTGCACTCTGCCACCTCCAGAAACCGGAGGGTTGACGTCTTCTGCCCTCTCCAAAGTCAAAGGACAGGTGGCTGTGGGCACAGGGGTGGGCTCCAGGGGTGTCTCTTCTGACAAGGTACACCCAGTGCTCTCGGGTGTGGCCGGCTCCGTCTTTGTCTCTGGTGCAAGGTGTTCCTCACTGGCGACTGGACTCTCTTCACCTGGCTCCTGCTGGGTCTCCTTCACTGGAGGGGTGTCTGTGGGTTTCTTGGCAGCCTGTTTCTTTTTCAAGGAAGGCGGCCGTGTTTTTTTAGTTCTCTTAAGGGTGCTGGACGCACTGTTGGATCCAGTACCACACGCATCTGTGGCAAGGGCCCCAGCTTCGGGGCTGCCCGGGCAGGAAGCACCGTCAAAATCGCTGGCTTGCAGGCTGAGCGAGCGGGACAGCGTGGACTTGGAAGGGGGCACGGATTCGGTGGATTTCCTCCGCGTGCTCACCTTACACTCCTGACCCTTGTAGTCGGCAGAGCATGGCTCCAGGCTCTGAAAGTTGTCCACCAGCTCGATGCTGTCGAAGTCTAAGTTGTAAGTTCCGCTGCTGGCTATCGGCTTGTCTTCATCGAACACCGCCGAGGAGGAGTGCGGAGGACGGAACGGGCTTCCTTCCACGGACTCGCTGCGAGGGCCATCGGGAACCACGGGCGGCTCAGAACTGCATCCTGAGGAAACGGAGACAAAGCGGTCACCTAAAGACATGGGACACTTGAGGGCACTTCTCACGCTGTACCAGATGCCACCTCTGCAGAGCAGAGGTTGATAAACTCCGAAAACGGGCATCCCGTATGGGCAACAAATCCCGGTTTCATTGCAGCACTGGCTCCAGACCCTGGGCAGGTTTCCCTCAGTTCCCTTATTGGTATAATGGGAGCCAATCAGAAAAGAGATAAAGGCTTGCTGTAGGTCATTGTCCTCATAGCCTATCAGCCATTACCATGGCCACCAAAGCATCCGTTGACTACCTACTTACAAGAGACTCTCAAGATCAAGCCTGATGACAGTCCATATGAAGAAGGGTGTGCAGAGGGTCACTAGACCCTAACCTGAGGGTCCCATCACTCCTTCCTGTACACACTCAAGCTGGGTATGGTCTCATTGTACAGTGTGGAATGCCAGCAGAAGGGAGGACTATCTTTGTAGCTATGCAGAAACTGTCAGCCTTGCTGAGGTGACTTTCTGCTATGTGGCTGTTTTGGGGTTACCCACGCTCTGTAAGCAAGGCCACACTGGACGCTAGAGGAATGGTACTTTAGTCTGTCATCAGCGTCCTATCAGGTTTGTTTGTAATCTTACCAGGAAAGTCACGAAACAAAGAGAAAGTGTCTTAGACAGAAAGGGCTGTGTGTGCAAAGGCCCTGGGGTAGGAGAACCCTGGGGTATTATAAAAAATGATGGGGCTGATGCTGTTGAAGTCAGACAGGAGCAAGACAGGAAACAGAGAAGGCGAGCAAAAAATAGTCAACCTTTAGTGTGTAAATTAAATATGGCCACAGTCAACTCTGATCCTGATTGCTTAGGCGCTGAGAAGAACGTGCAAGGCTTTATGTGAGGTGCGTTGAGCAGGACTGAGCTAGCCCTTCACCACCTACCCCCGCCTAGACACGACCTGGATGCTCTCCCACCAACCTGCCTGCCTGCCTCGCTCTAGCTTTGCCTCCTGTCCATTCTCCATCCTCTCCTCCCAGCTTTTTACCTCCTCCAATCCTGTCAGCCAACGGGGCTGCTCCTTATCTTCCAACATGCTCATGGATAACAATGTCAGCCAAAGGACGCCCAATGCTCTCACTGCCCCACTGCTCCCAGGAAACCCACCAGCCCTTGCATGGATTTCTGGGCTCCCAGCTGTACTGCCAGAAAAGGGAAAACCTTGTCCTGTGGTCTGCAGAAGGCAGAACATGAAACAGAAAAGGCAGCAGAGCACAGATGGACTGTGGACTATGCACATGAACAGACATTATGATGCATTAGCCCCTCTCTCCAGGTAAGCTTCCAGCTAAAGTCCAGGAAGCCATTATACTTGAGTTTCAGATAAATGGACAGTTTGGACGCGAATGTGTCACATGAGATTCAAACTGGCCTAGGTGTCCTACGTCTTCACTTTCTTTTTTTTAAAAAAAAATTTATTTATTATATGTATATAGTATTCTGTCTGCTTGTATGCCTGCAGGCCAGAAGAGAGCACCAGACCTCATTACAGATGGTTGTGATCCACCATGTGGTTGCTGGGAATTGAACTCAGGACCTTTGGAAGAGCAGGCAATGCTCTTAACCGCTGAGCCATCTCTCCAGCCCCATCTTCACTTTCTCAATAGCTGTCTTATCCTTCATCCCAACAACCCAGGTGTGGGAAAGGCTCACAGTCAAATAAGCCAGTCTGTTTCTTTAGATTGTACCCTACTTCCCCCCACCCTGAGCTGTGGATGCTCACTGCTGTCAGTGGGGTGGGGGGGTCCTCTCACGGTGTTTCCTAACTTTGCTCACAGGCAAGCCCTGCAGCTGGATCCCCTGCTGATGAAGTGGGAGACGAGAGCACAAGGAAACGGTAAGCCTCCCAGGTTCAGAAAAGGGCTTGCTTACCTATCTCCAACCCAGGAAACTTTCCCTCAGAAAGCTTAATAAACATCCCGTGTCCTATGAGTACATAGGGAAGCCTGCCTGTCACTCTCGCTAGCGCCAGGCCCTTCCCCTCTCTCCCCTAACCCTAACTCCACTAGGCACACACGCCCTGAGCATTTGCAGCCTCCGGTCCCAGTTCCCTACCAGCTCCAAACACACTTGCTTCCTTCCCATCTCAGAACAGGTCTCTGTCTCTCTTCCTTCTGAGGTCACGTCCCTTCTCCTCTGAGGCACTTGGGCCTTCAAGCACAGTTTCTTCCTGTCAGCAGCAACCTCTTCTTCCTGCCCTGTGGCTGCTCTGGGATACTTGGTTTGGAAGGCGGAAGACCAGAGATACGGGGGGTGGGGAGAGGTACTCTCACATGGACGTTGGCAGCAGGGAGAGGGGCCTCAGTCAGTCCTTCACTCTGTAGACAGACCCTCCAGTGCCAAGCTTTCCCTGTGAATCTGCTCCACAGTCTCGGCAGCCTTCAAAGGTCAGTAGTTTTCCCGCATCATGCAACAGTCAGCAGATACTCAGCCTCACATCTGCTCTGTCCTCGCGCCTACTCAGCCTGGCTTTCCTATTCAGAAGTGCTGGTTCCTAATTAAGGCACAGGCAAAGAACCCAGTTTTGCTGCAGTTTCTTATCCCGAGCTCCAAAGATGCTTGGGGGCAATCCCTCATTGTGGGGAGCCAGCCTGTTAGGTGTAAGAATCCTCATTTCATCCTTAGCTTTGACCTACTAGATGCCAGTAGCACCTTCTATCCTAGTGCTGACAAAATGTCTCCAGACATTGTCTCCTGTCCCCAGGAGTACAACACTCTCCCTAGTCGGGAGTTGCTATTTTACTGAATGGTTCTCAGAGCAGGCGGCTCGCCCCATGGCCCTTTACAAGGTTGGGATGGCCTCTCCATGTCATTGCCATGGGCAAGCCCAGACTTGGAGGGCAAGTATGTTCAGTTGGGTTCCCACTAGATTGCTACACAGCCACAAAGACTTCATTCTGCATAAAGACTTCATTCATCCTAAACCTGGGATGTCTCCACCTCAAGACTGGGTGACTTCAACAACAGAGAAGAAATATGTTTCTCATTGTCCTGAGTTCTGAGGCCAGAGTCCACAAAGGAGGTGTCAGCAAGTCTGGTCTCTCCTAGGGCTTTTATCCTTGGCTTTCAAGTGGTCAAGTCTGGCTCTGTTGTCCTTACATGGCCTTTCCTTTCCTCTGAGTAGATATAGCCTTGATGTCTTCTTTTTCTTTTCTTTTCTTTTTTTTTGTTTTGTTTTGTTTTGTTTTGTTTCTTGAGACAGGATTTCTCTGGGTAGCTTTCAAGCTTGTCTTGAAACTCACCAGGCTGGTCTCGAATTCACAAACATCCACCTCCTTCTGTCTCTGGGGTTAAAGGCCAACCAAAGTCTCCTCTTGTTACAGGCTCCACCACCCTAAGACTCCACAAACCTTAATCACCACCTGAAAGGCCCTATCTCTCACACATCACATCAGGATTGAGGACTTTAATATGGGGATTTAACAGGTACACAGTCCAGTCTACAACACCGGAGCTAGGCAACACAGCAGATATGCAAATCAGCCTATAACACCTGTGCTGGGTAAAATACCTTAAGCTAAACAGAAACCAGAGAGAAGTAGAGGAAAAAGTGTCCTGACAACTGACGTCACCCACCTGAAGTCTCCGTACCTTCAGCGGAGGCCACATTTCTTAGCCTGCTAGAGTGTTTTCCAAGTGACACTTGAGATGGCTAGAGCTGTCCCTCCTGCACAGTGAGCTCACTCAGGGACAGGGATGTAAAGGCTAGAAGGAACCCTTGGCGTCCTGACATGCTCAGATTCTCAGCTGACTAATAAATCAAGCCCACAGGAAGCACAGCGACCACCTAAGCACACTAATAAGGAAAAGGTCTCCTCTTTCAGCAGGCTAATGGAGATCAACAGAGCATTCCTTGGTCCTCTTTGTGGCATTTTGCCAGTGGTTGTATGCTGTGGGACAATGGTCTTCTACCCTGTCACTTATATTGTACTGTTTTAATAAAACGCTGATTGGCCAGTAGCCAGGCAGGAAGTATAGGCTAGGCAACCAGGCAGGAAGTAGAGGTGGGGTAATGAGAACAGGAGAATTCTGGCAAGAGGAAAGACTCAGTCTGCAGTTGTCATCCAGACACAGAGGAAGCAAGATAAGAATGCCTTGCTGATAAAAGGTACCAAGTCATGTGGCTAAAACACACAAGAATTATGGGTTAATAAAAGTTATGAGTTAATAAGAAGCCTAAGCTAATATGCCGACCAGTTTATAATCGATGTAGACCTCTGTGTATTTCTTTGGAATTGAACAGCTGCAGGACCAGGTGGGACAGAAACTTCTATGGATAAGGAGCCGCATCAAGACTCCCCAACAGGGTCACAAAGGGAAGTAACTGGTGTGTAGAGGACCAGGGCCTGGCTAGATTCTTGGTTTCCCCGCCTAAGTTTCCCTGGGTGAACACAACCACGGTGGGTCACTGGGATCACTGCGCTCTGGTTCCCTCACCTGTCTATGCAGCCACAACCTCCTACCATCTTTCTGACATGAGCTGAGTGGGGCTTTGGACTGGTTGCAGCGGGCTCACGTACCTCCTGCTCAACCATATCCTCTCTCTGCGTAACACCTACCGCAGGACAAGAGACCAACATGCTCTACCTGGGCTCCTCACCTTACACATGGGGAACATCACATCACATCAGAGTTCCCAACAGCTCCACTTGTTCCAGAAAGCTGGGTACATATTCACATTCATATCAGGAAGATTAGGAAAGTTACCTGGCCCAAGTGCTGTGGTACCCAGACCCAGCTCTGAAAAGCCCTGATCGTCAACTTGTGTGTCCTCAGCCTAAACATCCATGACCCCTCAAATTCCCACGCAGAAATCTCATTCTCAAGGCAAGACCTCCGAGAGGGGATTAGGTCACGGGAAAGAATGTTCATGGGATTGATTAATACCTTGAAGGAGCTTGTTGGTCCTATCCACCATGTCCTGGCACGGCAGGGTGAGTGCCATGGGTTAATCTGACCTCCTCCAGACACCAAATCTGAACCCCAGCCTCAGAATCAAAGCAACAGACTTCTGTTAGCTACCATCTACTCTGTCTACAGGTAGGCTGGCCAAGGCTGAGGCTGTGCTTTTGGGCAAGCTATTTCATAAATCTGTTGCTGTTGCAAGCCAGGGGTTCTTGTGAGGGTGGGATGGAAGGCCACATGAATGCCCAGCATAGGGCACAGTTGGTGCCAGGAAAAAACAGCCACGGCCCCTCAGATCCTGCCCACCCCAATGACAGCGGCTCCCTGTTCTGCAGTCCCAGTTGAGCATCTCATTCCCAGGGGCTTGGGTCATGCCAGGATTTGTCAGAGATGAGAACAAACATCAGTATATACAGAAACAAGCCTCCTGTGGTAGACCCAGTAACGGCAGAAGCACCGCTGGCAGCTAACGCTGAGAGACACGGTCTAAAATCAGAGACCAGAGAGCCGTCTCTTTCCTACAAGATGAAATGTGTAGGCACACGGGCCACTGAGTAGCTCCAATCACCATCAAGATCTTCACAGAGCCCTTCTCCAGGCTAGGAGGGCTGCCAGCAAGAATGCGCAGACAACTTTGTCACTACAAGAAGATGGCCCAGAAAGGATGGTAAGGCGCTGACCTCAGCTCTTCCACCATGTACCTGGTTGATCATCTGCTTCCTGCTACCTGACCATCCTGTGGGGCTCAGCTTGGACTGCAGGTCTCGGGACCAGCTGACAGAGCTGCTCAGCACACGGCTGAGTGCCAGTGAGCACAGCAACGACTCAGCACCTTTGAGGCCAGAAGCAGCAAGCAGCCAGGACACAGACAAGCTGCATGGGAGGGCAGGAAGCTAGAGTTCCCATCCCAGAGTCTGTCACAGGCTGCAGGACGAAGGGAAGGTCATGACCTCAAAGGAAGGGAATGCTTTTCAAATAAAGGATACTTAGCTCTCCAAGATAAAGCAAAGGTCCTATTACGAGCCTAACACAGGGAAAGTTCATAATCCAAAACTATTATTTAATCAGGTGAAAGACAAGTATGTCTCCCACTGATGACGTTGCCTAGTGTTTTACAGAGTCTAGAGGGGAGAGATTTCAGCACATGCAGGCTGCTGCCTTCATTTATACATGGAAAACTGGACTCCTCAGTCGGGGACAGACACAAGGTGGGCATTCCGCATTGTGTCCTTCTGTGCCATGGAACACAAAAATGCTCATAGGATCCAGCATATAGTAAGAGACTGTTTTGTTAAACAGGTTTCCAGGAGGAAAAACCATGTTTGTATTCAACAGTCAAAGGTCTTGCCTATTATTTCCTGTGGTTCCTGGGGCTCCTTTAGTGACATTCCAGGAATTCTGCAGAGGAAAACTATAAACAATAGATTTTCCCCTCCTGCCCTTTCTTTCCCATGGTTTTCAGAACAAACCCTTCTCTCCCCAGGGTGACCCACGCAAGCAGCACAGGGCCTTCTCATGCCTTTGCGGTGCCCCCCACAGGTCTGCAGAATGGATGGGAAGTTGGGGGGGGCAGCTTCCAACATGTGCAAAGAATCAGATGATCCTTTGTACAGCCTAAACCAAGGAGGTGGGTGCTTTCTGGAGGCTCAGTCCCCAGTTCAGGTCTCCATGACTGGCTGGCTCTCCGCAATTTTCAAAGACTCCAAGAGACATAGTCAAAGGTTCTAAGGGATTGTGACTCAGCAGCAATCAACTTCTCCAACCCCCTCTCCACACAGGCTATCTCTTAAGCCTCTATAATGGTCATTCTTTTATGAACTGTCATTTAAGAGATGGGGTTGTGTGTGCTTGTTTTTCTGCTTCGTTGAAAAAGAAGTTAAGGAGTGACTGGCACTGCCGTTCCTGTCCTGGGGCAGCTACTGCTCCTTAACAGTTTGCACACCATCGTGACGAAGACTGAGAAGCCAGAGCCTGGCAAATTGGAGGTTTTCATTGACATCTGACCTCCAGGGAGCTCCTGCACCACTGGGCCCTGCGCTTCCATCTTGCTCTAATGTTTACTATTTCAGACCGGACTCAACTCATTCACAGCATGGGCTACATTCAGACTAAATGATGAGACTCCAAAGCATCGTGGCCAGACCTACGGATTTCCCAAAACCATTGGTGCACTGGGATATACACCTAGTGTGCACTGGGATAACATCGAGTGTGCACTGGGATAACATCAAGTGTGCACTGGGATATACATCTAGTGTGTATAACCCAAGCTCCTATTCACAGTCTGTTAGAGACCTCAGAGCTTTCCAAAGTCATTCTCCAGAACAGAAGAAGCCCAAGTCAGTCCTGATGGACCCCATCTGAACACATGGATCCACTTACGCATCGTCCCACTGTCGGTCTCCTCGCTTCAAGCATGGGTGGTATGGAATGGTTCTGATTTTGGCTATCCTGAAGACAGCCTTGAAAGGGATGCAAGGATACGGCATGTTTCAAAGGATGAAAACAGCAAGTGTCTCCACTTATCCCAATAATGGAATTACTGACTTATAGCATTCTCTATACGAGGGACCCAGGGGGCCCTTAGTTCTTGTCTGGGTCACATTTGGATCTAAGCAACCAGGAAGGAAGCAATAGCAAAGTACAAAATTAATGGGTCATACAACCTAAAAAATGCAGATGATCATAAGAAGCAAATTTACAGTGCCAGTTGGGTATCTCCACAGAAGAGATGCTACGTCACTGTCTAATCTTGTCTCAGCTGGAATAGCCGTTCTAAGATGTGAAACCATCTTGGAGGAAGTTGAGATGATGAAGAAGGGGTACCATAACATTCTTCCAGGTCAGGGTGTTTAGCATCCTCCAAAGCCCGTTGCCTCCGCTGCCCTTTGAATCTGTATACAGTTGCGAGTACGGACCACTGAACGCCTGATTCCAAGCAGACGGAATGGAGGTTGTGTCTGTTTCTGTGTGGTAAAATTACTCAGCTGTCTAAAGTTTAAGATGGGGCAAGACAGATGGTCCAGTGGTGGTAAATAGCTCCAAGCAGCAGTTAGAGTACTGAGTAGGAAATCCCGGAAGATACACCGAGGGTCACAAAAGAGACCTCCCCCTACGCATGCTTTGATGATGTGTTTGAGCTATGGGTCTACAAAGTGTTTGTTATTCAGCTACTTTCCACTGAGAACTAGGGGTGAGTTTATAAACATGATGTGGAAAGTACCTTTTCATTTTGTGCTAGGACACAAAACAGAGGGAGGGGCACTGAAGTCTCAGAACTGCAAGCAGGTCTCTGGCTCCGCCAGTCCTGTCGGCCCTCAGTGTGAAGCCCCCATCCGTCAAAACTGCTCTGCTCCCCAGCACAAGGCATCCCAGTTGTTCAACCAAACCTTGGGCCTTGAATACTTTCTAAATCTAAATCTAAATTGGCCTGCGTAAACCTTCAGCAGGAAAAATAATCCCACCCATTTTTTTTTTTCAACAACGTCAACATCAAGACCAAAATGTTATTTTCGGTTACAAAGCACTTGCTTCCTAACCAGAGCAAGGGTGAGCCCAGACTTAGGCCTGTCTTCCTTCACTACCAGCTCCATCCCTGCTAGGGATGCCCCCAGCCAGGCTGTGGGTGCTCAGCCCGAAGGTCCACATTCTATTCTTGGTTCCTCTGAAGACAAAGTAGGCCATCAGGAGGACAGGGTTAGGCCAGGAGAGGAGGTGGACCTTAGAAGTGACTGCCCACAGAACCTAACACATGGTCTGCAGGGAGCTGACTCTGTGTATACTCACCATGGGGGAGGGCTGAGGCCTAGAGGAGGCCAGAGCGGGGTCTAACGATGGAACCCATGTGGTTCCCATGGGGTCATTTCTATCTGGCTAAGTCACTTTTCAGACCTTAAACTTCCCATCAGAGGTGGCGCCAGCTTCTCTGGTATAATGGGGAAGCGTGCAGAACAGCATCCATCTGAGATGATCTGTTCCGACCCCAGTAATGGCCACATCTAAACTGTACTTGAAGGTGCTAATTAACTCCTATGAGGAGACAAGAGATGTGGGCAAGTGTCAAGCCATCAGGAAACCCAAATGTCCAAGGGGTCATCCTCTACTGACTGACTGTTCTTACTCACGGGCTAGCAAGCACTCGTCTCCTGTCAAGATTCACATGGGAGAAGGGGTCTATCTGCCTCAAATGTCCATCACCCAGTTACCTCAACCCTCAAACCTCCCCAAGCCCACAAGAGCTCAATCAACAGAAACACTTCTAGTACACACCCAGCACAACCCACTCTATGTTTACCCTTAGATGCCCTAAAAACCAGCGAAACGTAAAACACAGCCAAGAGAAAGGGCACCAACCACTGTGGGCTAAGTGCCAACTCTGTCCCCTAGAGCCAGTGGCTCCTCGTATCTGGTTACCTGGTTCTTCTGGGGCAGGTGGAGTGCTGACCTCAGGCTCTGGGGTGACTTCTGGGGGTGGTGGGGGTGGGGCTGGCGGTGCTTTGACAGGGGTCGTTGATTCAGGGGTCTCAAAGGCTTCCTCCGAGTCGGAACTCCTGGAAGAGAGAGATAAGAAACATAGGTAAGACCACCAAGTAGACATTCTGCTGAGAAGGCATGGCCTTCTTACTCTCCGACAAGTAGATTTGGGGCCGACGCTCAATTCAACTGTTGAGACAGGTGTGGAGGTCACCTCAAAGCATGATTCCTAGGAACTCTGCCACTGGCATTAAGATCAAATGATAGGCTCTTTGAACGTAGCTTGAAAGACACATGTCCATCTAGTGACAAATTCACACCCAGTGGGCTCTGTGGATACATTTTGGTGTGTGTTACCTGGCACACTGAGTCAGGCTAAAAGATGGACAGTTTTAATGTTCACCACGATGGCACCAGCCCACCTCCAGGATCCTCATCTATTTGCATTCACTCTCTCCCCACCCTAGTCTGCCATTCTTTCTGCCCTCTGCCTTCCCTGTGCTTCTAGATATTTACTGGTCTCTTCTCCTGGGCTGAAATCACCATGCAGATGGCTGGCCTTGTTTTGCACAGTACCCAGGGCCTAAAATGGAAGGCAATGAATGACCATCTGTAGAGTGAATGAGTGAGAGTCAGGAAGCCTGCCAGCGGAGGGCATGCCAGACCAAGCCACAAAGCACGGCCAGCCACTCCTTAGTGGTGTGGCGACCGCCCTTGGTGGTCCCTAGGGAAGGCTACCTGCAAGGAAGCCTCTTTATGCAGAGACCTGGGCCAAAAGCCCACCAAGGAAAGTTTCTCTTAGTAACAAGTCAGTGGACAAGCCTTCTCCCTTCCTTCTGCCCCAAGCTACTTGATCTCAGTCAGAGGAATGGGTAACCCAGTTATAAGTTCTCTTGCTGCCTCTAAGACACAGGGCAGCAGTTCACTGGCTCAGGATGGCCACAGGACCAAGGCCAACCTTACCTGGAAGGACAGACTCTGTGGGGAGCAGCAGCGTGCGGCCCCCATTTCAGAACAGTTCCAATGCACTGATCCCTGGCAAGGAAGGAGGAGACTAAGTACCAGGAGGGTGGCCACATAGGATGGCTGAAGATTTATAATCAGGTCATGTCACAGCACACTAGATCACACGGGTATCAGTGAACAGGAGCCTCCCCCAACACTGTGAGAGGCTCCCAACTGCTCAGCTCCACAGGGTCACAGAATTCGTGACCTTGGAAGAGGTCACCATCTTCTAAAGACCATCAGCTGACCAGCAGAGTGTCAGCAAGCAACAAACCCCTCTGCAGACCATTAGGACCCAGGAAATGAGCCGTTTGATGAGTTCTCTTTAGAACATCTACATCAGGGCTGGAGATGGGGCTAAGAAGTTATTGTCTAACACGCGCAAAACCACGGGCTTAATCCTTAACACAAACCAGGCATAGGGGTCTGAGTCTGTATAATATTAGCACTTGAGGTTGAGGCAGGAGGATCAGAAGTTCAAGGTCATCCTCAACTAGGTATCATGTTTGGAACTCAAAAAAAAAAAATCAACAAAAACATCAGAACTGTTTTTATGGAACCCAAGGAGCTAAAGCCAACTTTGTATCAGATTTCACTAGCAAACACTTAATTCTCACAAACCCCACAGGGAGGCCACTAATTTCTTTCCCACTTGCATATCAATTCTAACAGACCTAGCTTTTGTCTATGGGGAAAATTTAAGCTCCACCCACACTTGGACAGCAGCAGGTTGGTAGGTGAGGTTTCAAGAGTATGGAAACACAGGGAGGTTACACAAATGAACAGCAGAGAGGAATGAATGTCCTGATCCAGGCCTGGGGTGTAGTCCTGGGAACCAGCTTCCTCACCCTAGCGTAAACATCAGGAACAACCACAACAAAACACAGAGTTAACTTGCCTCTTTCTGGAGCTTCCCTGGGCAGCTAGCAGCCTGGAATCCCCACGGCTGCCCACATCCAATGGGTCCATTCCACTGGGGACCACATCTGCCAGGAGCCAAAAGCCATCTCCACGGAAAAACAGCCCCAGTTCCCGCCTATAATGTTCTTGCTACCATCTCTTGAGATCTAAACCTCTCTCATGGCATCAACAGAAAAGGACCTTGCCCGGGTCCCCTAGCAAGGTATGCCGTGAGCATCTCCTGGGTTCAGAGGCCCCAGGCCGCCTACTCAAGCCGAGATGCGGGGGGGGGGGGGGGGGGGCAAAAGCTTGTCCTGTTGCTTCTGCACCCTTGGGCACTGGCAACTCAAGGCTTTGGAACACAAAGGGCCCTGGTCTTTTCTCAGTAGCACAAGTGACAAGGAGGGGCCGGATGCTCTTGCATCCTAGCTGTGAATTCCAATGAGGTTCCTACTGCAGCAGCTGCCAGCCTGCACACCTGCTCAGAGAACCACCACTCACCCAGGACCTCGGGTGGGCAGGGCACGAGGACACCGTGCTCATTGCGCCTCATCATCTTTTTACTATGAACTGTGTGCATCAAAACACCACGGGCCGCCGTGGGCCACTTCTGGTGCTGCTGGCCTTGTTTGCATATTTCCACACTGCCTCCCAGAAGCAGAGAGCAAGTTAATTAGAGGAGGCAGACAGCAGCTTTTAAAATTCGCTCTTTCCTCCCTGTTCAGCTTCCCTGGGGCTTAAAAAACTCTTCCAAGAGCGAGAATTTCTGCAGTCCGCCCACCACGAGTCTGTGCACAAGAATAAAGCAGCTGGGTAGAGTCCCACTGCTGGAGTCCCACCGCGGTGTGCCTGTTTGCTTTTTTTTTTTTTTTCACTAGCAAAGCACAAATAATTACACAGCTGAGACTCCACACATTTTCATAATGGAAAAAAAGGAGGAAATTAATTTGTCACAAATACGTATCAGAAACAGAAACGGTGTTGCAGTTTGCTAAAACCCCTCCAAATTTCAAGAAAATATGTTTTGTTTACCAAGACGTGAAAATGTTTACCATGTAAGTAAATACAAAAGTTATATATATATATATATATGTGCATGTGCAATATATATGTGCATGTGCAATATATGTGTAAATACAAGACATTAAGCACAAGGCTATAATCAAGACTGTAATATACACATACATATAACACACACATATAACACACACACATAACACACACAGATGTGCACACTTCTATATGAAAAGTACAACAGCCAGCATTTGTGGAACATTCGGTTATGCGTCGGACACCAGCCTAGGTCTATTGTGTATGTACACATATCTATCATCTTCAGAACTACAGGCTGGGGATATAGCTCACTTGGTAGAGTGCTCATCTAGCATGCATAAGGCCCTGCGTCCAGTTCCCAATTCCCGCCACTGCACATACTAGGCAGGTGGTGTACAAAAACCAAAACAAAGTAACTACAACAACGGACAACTAGCCGGCCTGATGGAGAACAGGCCTGTTTCACAGACGACACAAGCACCAGTCTAGAGAAGCAAGCGGTTTTGCAAGGCTGTGCAGCTAGGAAATAAGAACAACGCTCAAATCCCAAGCTGCCGACCCCTAAAGTGTACCTTCGCTACATCTATGGCTTCCCAACGTCTTTAGCAAGCTCAACGTTTATGTTCTTTTTAAATAAAGTCTATCCTAGAGAAAAAGCAGGCCATTTAAATGAACTTGCGAACGTGACACGGGGATTGGGGCACACCAGCCGCAGCACTATCCCTGCTGATCTTTCTCCTGTTTACACAATGTTAGGGGAAGTCCCATATATCCAAGGGAGGGATTACTAACAGCTCTGCATGTTTAAGGGTCTATCCTGTGATCACCGATTCTCTGCGAGGCAGACAGGGCAGAGCAGCCATCTAACTGCACAAGGCAATTCCTCCACCAGTATCAGGCAGTATTTGGGGAATACGCAACATCACAATGAGATTGACAGATGAGAAGATAGAAATGATAGGTTGTCCTAGTCATGGAAACGGGGGCCTGCAGGGCTCCCCGGCTGTGTTAGTACAGTTTAAAAACATTTCTCAGCATAGGGGGTGCAGTTCGGTGGTAGCACCTTTACTTGCCTGGCACGCTCAATGCTTGGGGTTCAAGTCCCAGCTATAAGCACGTACACGCATGCACACGTATGCACTAAATATGAACCTCTACAGTGCTCTGAGCAGTCTACAAATGCCTGTTCCACACAGGATGAAATAAGTGACTCCAATGACATGCTTCTGGAACTGTCCCCCCAAACAAAGAGTCAGGTAGAGGGGAAAATGTGGACTTCAGTTCAAGGGCTTGTTTCCCTACACTTGTGACTTAGCTTCAACCTCATGGTTTCACTAATTATAACAAAAGAGTCCAAGATCAGGAGCCACAGATACATGACACACACAATATTAATTACAAATGTATCCATGGGGCTGGAGAGATGGCTCAGAGGTTAAGAGCATTGCCTGCTCTTCCAAAGGTCCTGAGTTCAATTCCCAGCAACCACATGGTGGCTCACAACCATCTGTAATGAGGTCTGGTTCCCTCTTCTGGCCTGCAGGCATACATGTAGACAGAATATTGTATACATAATAAATAAATAAATACAAATGTATCTGTGACATATGAACGTGTGCATATAACCGAAAAACGAGTGTTTTTAAATGAAGAGGTACTATAGTTTTCCAACATGCCATTAACTGCCTACCTTTTGCTCGAATTTTACTGGCGAGAATCCAAGGGGCTTTGTTTGTTAGACAGGGGCCTGGTGTCCCAAGGAAACAACCATGTAATGCAATGTCTCAGCAACATAGTACATTTTACTTCTGCAGAAGGCTGCACAGCTGCTTTAAATGCATCAGGCAAGCACATCTGAGCACACCCATGGTCCTGCTGGGCTTCTAGTCAAAGTGCAAAGGGTCCTTCCTGTGCCTCACACTCTTCTCCAGTTGGCTACCTCTACACCTGGCGGGTAAGCCAAGAGGAGCTTCTGAGACCAGGACGCAACATGGAGGACATACTTCTATCTTAGAAAACTGTTGACTGGGGAAGGAACTTGTGGCAGGTGGTGTCTTTATTAAAGTCTTTTACTGTTTAGAGACCAGGCTGGCGTCAAATTTGAAGAGAGGTGGGATTA